GATCCTGTGGTGTTTCAAATTCTAGGCACTTTATGGGACAACACTGGAAGAAGCCCGCTGGAGGGAATGTGTGAGTTATGTCAACAACAACATGGAGAATGCAGTGGGAGCAATGTATGTCAGGGAGACATTTGCTGGTGAGAGCAAGAGGATGGTATGTAGTTTTACCCTTTCGTACTGTTGTACCCCCAGTGACCATTCCCCTCCATCTGATCTCCCAGCTTGGTTTATCTGGTAAAGAGATCCGTCAGCCAAGAATTAAAAAGCATAAGAACTCATTTGTAATACTGTTTTTAATGTGAAGTATCGTAATTTAGAACACAGAGCTTGGGAGAAGTCAGCTTTCAGTAGGAAACCTTTCATCACCTTTGCTGTGGCTAGGAAAAATAGGATGTAAATAATTTTATTTTCTTTACTGCCTCTTTTAGGTCCGAGATTTAATAGATAAGATTCGTGAAGTGTTCATTGAGACATTAGATGAGTTACAGTGGATGGATGAGGCATCTAAAGAGAAAGCTCGTGAGAAGGTCAGAGAAAACAAGAAACTTCAGTATCCCTTCATGAATATGAAATCTTTGGAATTTTGTTGCATCACTATTCCCAGTTCCTCTGCAAATGAGAGGAGAAAACTTTACTGTTCACTATCCTGTTATCCATTATCCTATTACATTGTCCCTTTCTTTTTAATCCTTTACTAGTTCACACACGTTTTGTTTCCTTTAATGAGTCTTGTGAACCACATTATAAGTAAAGAGAGAAGATAACACCCAATGCATCAGCTACAGTGACAACTGAATACAACTCAGACCCCAAAGGAAAGTTGTCATTGATTTTAGGACTATCAGTGCTGTTGCAATACCAAGGAAGCACTAGGTGAGGGTTAAGCTCAATCCCTGTCAGATAGTGTTATAGGGTCTGCAAGTCTACCACAATGGCTGGAGGAGAGGGAGGCTTTGTTTCACATTTAAAAAAAAAACCCTCACTAGGCAAAAGGGTGCATCTGAAGACTGTTTTCAGCCATTTTTATCCAAATTCTTACACACGAGGGGGCAATGAAAAAAATGAATCAAATGAGGAAAAGGTAAACTCTTTTCTTCTAGGCAATGGCAATTAAAGAACAGATTGGCTACCCAGACTATATTTTGGAAGATCACAATGAAAAACTAGATCAGGAATATGCCAATGTAAGTATGCTGTACATACCGCAGTAAGTACCTCAGTATAAAAGCCTACAATTATTTTCTCACCATTTGGTGTACTTGTGCCTGTGTAACTTATTTCCAAGTGGCTAGAAAGCATTGATTGCATTGAGCATTTTATAATCATTAGCTCTTTGCATTCAGTTAAGTGATAACTTGCATTCAAAACATTTTAGAAGATACATTCATTGGCACAAAGAATTCCTCGTTCAGCACAGCTTACTGATACAGAGATATCTGTTTCTTCAGCTAAACTTCAGCGAGCACAGTTACTTTGAAAACATCCTAGAAAATCTGAGAGCTGGAGCCCAAAAAAGCTTGAGAAAACTTCGAGAGAGAGTTGACCAAGATATGTAAGTTTCAAGACTACATACACAATCTTAAATCCTGGAATAACAGCTATCATGTTTTAGTCATATGCTGTGGATAAGTGAAAATGTTTATATTTGGGATCTCGTAAGTTATTTCCTGGAATTAAACAAGTAGTTCATTGCTTCTTGTAGTAGGAGTTCATTCAGTTCTCTTGGAATCTCACTAATGAATCTGAATGCAAAGCAGCTTGATGAAGGATTAAAGCTACTTAACACAAAAGCAGTGACAGATCTTTCTGGTGACTCAGCAAGGAGGAGAGGAGATAAGTAGTGTTGGAATCTCCAAAATAAGCAATTAGAGGAAAGAGAAGCTTGAAGTATTCTGGCCAGAATTCTGTTGGAAATATGCTCTGTCTTAAGGAAGTTGAAGACCAGATCCAGTTAACGCCTACTTCCAAGCTGATAACTTCACACTACACTTAGTAAGGTAAAAGTGTATTTTTCAGATACTTCCTGTCATAAGTACAGGCTTGGCTGCTTCATGATTCCTTCTTTTACTCATTAAGGCATCCAAGTAAATCTCAGGTCTCGTGCCTGTATTGCCCTGGCTGTTACCTCATAGTTCTCTAGTCTTAGACAAATCCTCAGATTGGTGCTCATCTCAAAAAAAAAAAATCAAATATAAGTAGCATGTTTATAAGGTATTATATAAAATACATTATTTACAGCAACGAATGCACTAGAATATGACCGAGTTTCCAGAGCTCTGAGCTAACCAATCTGAACTTTTAATAGTCCATTTGGCTTCCTGAGCTACACAGCTCCAATACAGTTATTTGGCAAAGCTGCTGCCGAATGCATTAGTGACAGAGACAATTAGAATGCAAGGTTGAAGTAAGGAAGCTAATACCAAATTGACGTGTTGTTCACTAACGGGCTTCCAGCCTGCGTGATGCTGGAAGAGAAAAGGAAACAACACATCTTGACCAAACGTAAACCAACAGTTATTAATAAGCAAACAAAAGACTCTCCAAAGGGAAGCCCAGGTCAAGTTAATCATCGCAAAGTCTATTAATACTTTTCCTATCTCTCTTCCTGTGAGGTAGTTTATAACTCAAAACAAGAGCAGACAATGCAGACACTTAGAAGTAAATTACTGATGAATAATTCACCAAGGAGGTTTTTTAAGCAGAGCTTTTTTAAATGCTTCCTCATTACTTGATTGCATCAATCCTGGGGCTCTTCATAGCAAGAATTCTTGCAGAGGACTGATTGTCTTCATCCACAAACTGCGTTACAGATCACTGCTGCCTTTTGCAGTCTGTCTAGAGACTGTTAGCCCTTCAGAAAGAATTCCCCACACCCCTGCTCATTCTAAGTGTTGTTGAAGACACATTTGTGGGAGCCTTTTCAACAGTTAATGCATTGGGCCTTCTTTGCCTCCCTGTTTGGCAATATACAAAATACCAATAATTTGCACTTTTTTACCCGACCTACAGTTTTCTAGTGACATCAACCCAGAGTCTTGAAAGGTTTTCCCAAGTAGACAAAACTACTTCCACTCCAGCTCACCATTCCATTAAACCAAAGGAGTGTGTGTAACTGACAATGTTGATGCTACTTTGTTCAATCTAGTGATCAGTTAGTAAGTCAGCGCTCATAGTTAGATTTCCTTTTCAGAGCAGCCCAGTAGTTACATCAAGGTAACAGTAAATACAGCAACTACTGGCACCGCAAGAAACTGTAGGGATGAGAGATGTGGAAAGAGGAATGTCTGAGGCTGACGCTGCTAAACACTTTCCATGAGCTCATGGATCCAACTGTTACTGCATTGGTCAGTAAAGCAGGCTGACTAGAAGTGTACATCAGGTAGAAGACATGGAGGGATGGGCAGAAGGGAAGAGATACAAAGAATAAAAAAGCTGTCAAGCTATTGGGAATATTTTCCAGGAGCAGCTTTCTTCAAACAAGAATTACTTAAAGTTAGTACTCATTATCATTATCTATAAAATATTGGACTCCGAAGGCAGACATTTGCAAATCTGGAGTCAGATATGCAATGAGTGTGATTGTTCAGTTTTAATTTTTTTTTTTTTTTTTAACAGATAAGTTTTGTCTTAACTTCTCATTTGGAGTATCTGCCTTCTGCTGCTTAAAACATCATCTATATGCTAATTTTCTTTTTAATGCAATACTTCTCATTTCCTCTTAAACTCAGAGTGTTAAAGTGACCTAGTAAGCAGCCACCACACTTCACCCCAGTGTAGCTGTTCAACATTCAAGAGCAAATGCATTTCTCACTTCAACTTGGTATTCTTCTGAGTGAAAGATGCCAATGAGTGAGAGTTCAGGTATTTCCTCATATAATTATTTCTTGACAAGTGCGTGCAGTGGCAGCCTTCTTCCCTACCTCAATCTTTTCCTTACATGCAGTCTGCATTTTTGACTTATCAGTAAGAAGAATGTTTATAGTTGGTGACTAACTTTGTGTGCAACATTTATTTTTAGATGGATAATCGGGGCTGCGGTGGTCAATGCTTTCTATTCCCCCAATCGGAACCAGATAGGTAGGTTTACAACAATTTTACGCAGCTGTATGGACCTAATTAACCATTTATTGCTCCACAACGGTGCATGTCAACTGTCTAGAGGTAAACCTGCCTCTGCCTTTGAGGAAATTCTGGGCAAGATAGACAGGCTGTTCTTTTCAAAATGTTGTTTTGTTGATGAATATTCAACTCCCCACCACACACGCACACTTGGCAGGCATAGTTCATATACTGCAATTGGAACAGCCTTATGTTTGAAAGCCTGAGACAGTAACTGCTACTATGTGAGTGCCAGCTTCAGCAACCAGAGTGCTCATAGCATATTCTGGGCTGTTTCTACTCGTGTTTCCACATTCCTGATAAACACAAGGGCAGCTTTCCAGTTTGTTTTCTGTACAGACAGTACAGAAATAGTCTTGCTAAGGAGTATAATAGACTAAAGAAAGCTGCCTCAGCTTAATGTGATGTTAGGTCCGAGATACTTTGGAGAGTTGCTAGCCTGACCTCTCTTGTTCGTAGCAGACAAGAAGATCCTCAGCTGTAAGACTTATTGAACTTGTCTGGCTCCATGTACTCCCCAATTCCTGCAGGTGGCCAGAAGTCCAGGTTAAGCCTAGAGATACAGCAGTCTTTGCTGAACTCTGAGCACCTCACACAGGCAAGGAGCTCGGTCATTTCTGTTATGTAGTGGTAATCTGAATTTAATAAATAAAGAGCTCCAAGAGCTTCTACTGTTAAGTACTGTCAAATAATATAAGAGAAACATCTGTGCCATTCTTGAGCAGACAACAACTGTACCTTTTTTGCAGGACAGGATAAAACCACAGTCAAAAGGAAAGATTTAGATAATTTCTAAAGGTAGAAACACCCAAAGCACTTATTGTTTAGTCCTGTAGCCTCATCGTAAAAGACTAATTCCTATTTACACAGCTTCAACTTACCTTCGTGTTGTAGGCATGGTAAAGCTGAGACCAGTCAGTCCTTCAGCCTCGGTAGCATGCTCCTGCAGCCTGCTGATCCAGACCATCTTAGAGCAAAAGGTGTATTTGCTCTCAGGCTCCCCATTTATCCACACTGTTTTTATTCTGATAGTAATCAGCTGTGAACCAGCTTTCCCGCAGTGAACTCGGGCCTTGAAGAAGTCTTTTTCCTCTACAGCTTTGCTCTTGTAAGCAATGTGGAAGTAACTGGCTTAATTTGAAGATGGATATTCAAGGCAAATCCCAGCACAGCTGCCTGCAATAGCATAGATGTCCATTAAATCCTATTTCTTTATATCTCCAGTTTGAGGAAACTAATTTTCCACACTACTTTCAGTCTCTCGCTTCTGCCTTACTTCTGCCTGTCCTATATATTTCTCCTCAAAAATGCATGGATAGAAAATTCTATATGGTCAAAAAGGCTCGTGACTTTGAATGAAGCATTTGCTATATAATCACAGTATCTCAGTTTTTATAGAATGTCTCACTAGAATGGAGTGCTTACAGTCTTAATTCTTCTAGAAACATGTATGTCTTTCATTTTACATACATGGGAAAAAGACTAAATCTGCTGATTCTATATGAGGCTTCAGTAGACTGAAGAAGGATATACCTCCTGCTGCCCTCCCTCTCCTCCCCCCCAGGCTGACATCTAAGCACACTCAGAGGTTTGGAGGTTACTGCTGTGTATGTTTTACACACTGAGTGTTGTCAGTAATCAGCATATGATTGCTAACCTTTCTTCAACAAAAGTAAATCAATGAAATAACCATTAGTTCCCCTGTAAAATGTCTCTAAAGCACAAACTGTACCTATCTCCAAACTACAGTTGCTAAAAGTTTTGTTCTTGATTGGCAGGAGCATACGTTATAGATCAAATTAGGCTAATGTTGAAATGTAAATGATAGTTGGTTCTCAAACGAGGAGATACTGACATTGCAGATGTGCTAAATTAAACCTTTATTAACTTGTCATTTTCCATTTATCTAGTGGGAAGTAAATTCATATGGGGAGGCAAGACGGTGTTTCTAATAATTTTATATTTTAGGTTCCTTCCTGACCCTTAAACCAAATAACCATTCAGTTTGCAAAATATGCAAAAATAAAAGCTATTTTATAGCAGCTTCTTCTCTCTTCCCCTTGTAGTTTTTCCTGCTGGGATTCTACAGCCTCCATTCTTCAGCAAACACCAACCACAAGCCCTGAACTTTGGAGGAATCGGGATGGTTATTGGGCATGAGATTACTCATGGCTTTGATGACAACGGTGAGAAGATATCTCAGAAAACGTTCTTTCAGTTGTGCTCATTACATTGTAAAAAATTGAAGTTACACTGCTGTGACTGAAGGATCTATGCATACTATATATGTACCTGCTCAGTAACTATCTGGGACCCACACAAGCACGCTATAAGCGTTCTATTGAGCATATTGCAGTGAATGTTTCATGAACTTTGTGGGTCATTCAGGATGCAAGAAGATTTTAAAAATGAATTGACTCAATCACAATTCTCAGGAAAACCTGTTACTTTTACAGCATCATCAGATTAGAAATACTGTCAGAACAAGCAGATATTCTGGCTTCTAAATGAAAACGAAATCTGAAACTATATTCCTCATTTGTTCATTCTGATGAAAGAGCCGCTGGTAGTGTCTTGAAAACAGGAGACTTTTTTCCAACATAAACTTCTGAAATAAATTTACTTTATTATCTTTCTTTAATGTTATATAAAATAGTTTTGAGCAAAAACTTCTGATAGCATAAGCCAGTAAGTTCTTATACATGAATTTTCTTCATTTTTTTTAACGTTAGTTAAGCTTATACACATAAGCATACAATATAGCCTCAGTAATTTAGCAAATAAAAAGAATGCTTTAGCAAGAGAGCTGAGAACACCAACTCCAGAACTGTAATTCCATCTTTCTCCTGTTGTGGCAAAATAATTAATTCTTTATGAACCTTAGTTCGTATAATCACATGGATACACAAAATAAGCACCTTAGACACCTCAAAAGAAGGTATAGTAAGTTTTGTTTTGTTACATGATGTCTGGGTAATCCAGTTTGAAATAAAACTGGACCTTAGTGTCATAACTGAGGTCAGGGCTGCCAGCTGAACAACGTATCGTAGAATAATAGAGAATAGAAGAAATGAACACAATAAATTTTATCTGTACTCTTGTGCCAGAGGAGAATCAACTGCACCAAAAACATTTCTGGTAAATTTCTAGAGCACAGTCCTTCTAAATCAAAGGAGGAAAGAAGAGGAGGTGGCGTGACTTGAGCATTAAGAAGAAACAGGTGCTGCACTGGAAGAGCAGCTGCTGTGATTAACAAACTCTGGCTCAAAGCTAACCTTTTTTCCTTGGATTTTTCACATAGGTAGGAATTTTGATAAAGATGGAAATATGTTTGACTGGTGGAGCAATTTCTCAGCCATGCATTTCAAGGAGCAGTCTCGCTGTATGGTTTATCAGTATGGGAACTACACGTGGGAGCTGGCTGGAGGACAAAATGTAAGTATCATTCCCAGAAACAGGCATATTTAGGATCTTTTGATTCTTTGGAGGAAATGGATATTGAAACAGCAAGCTCAAGCACTTGGTTCAAATTCTTCTCATCTATGGCTTTTACCCTATTCATTTTTTAATTTTAATTTCTTTGTCCTAGCACAAAGTCACTGCTACCTTCTGTTCCAGACATGACTTTCTATCTGTGCTTTATGACAGTGCTTCAGCTTGTGGTTTTGTGGTTTTTAGGGTTACTGATGTTACTGGCTGCAGAGGAAACAAATGATTGTTCTTTTACAGGTCAGTGGAATAAGCACGTTAGGAGAAAACATTGCAGATAATGGAGGAGTCCGACAGGCTTATAAGGTAACTCTCAAATATACTGTGAGTTAATTTTACCCCCGAGATCCAGCAATGGGGTTGCTTTTTATAGCATAGACAATTTGACAACTGACATGTTACTGCCCTATTCTAAAACTGGAAGCCTCAGTTACATATCCAGAAGCTTATGTCCCAATAGATCCAAACCCAGTAGGACTGATGGCATTCTTTCACCCAGGAGAAGAACACCTAAATATCCCAGCCATAATTTGGTGTACTACAATGCTTGATGCTGCATACTTTGGTCTCAGGTAAACAAGGGCCATGTTCATAAATAGGTATGGTGTTAGGGAGGAAAAAGGTAAAGCACCTTCCATTTTTTAAAGCCTCTGATCTGAAAATGGCAGCTACAACTTCAAACAGCTTGTCACACAGCAACAGAGCATTAATTTCATGGCAGTACCGTTTTGTGATATTATGAAGCAGAGCAACTGGTTTTTTCCAGGTTTTTCTCTCACACTTTTCGTCTTTGATCTCGAAAGTGACACGTCAGGTAGGATGTGAAAAGAATACTTAGATGTACCCTCTCCTTCCCGAGAGGGATACAGAGCACATCTACCGAAGTACGTCTCTAAAATTCTAGCTCCTTTTGTTGCTTGCTTTGTTTTAATAGCTTTAGGAAGATAACGGACAGAAGTTTCTTCTACCTTGCTGCTATTTATTCTGCTAGTAAGTAGAATAAAAATACAAGAATATTTAGTCTCAGAACTACTTGCCTATTTCCAAGGTAAAAAGGTTGTTTCGTCAGTCAGTTACTTTGAAAATCAGAGGAATTTGAAAATAAGAGGAATGCAACTGGTATGTCAGGGCACGACTTCCATGCTGCGGCTGAAAACCAATGTTGTTCAGCATGATACTATCTGTTAAAAACACCATTGCATAATCATCCTATTTCTCCTGCTACATGGGGGGAAGACTGTCTAGCATCAGGGAATGCTGATGAACCATCTTCCAGATTCACAAACCGTTGTCACGAATAGGAACACGGCATTTATTGGCACAAAGGCTCTTTCCACGTGGAGCTCGGGTGTGAGAATGGAACGTTCTTTTCTAAGACAGATCTTAACGGATATCATGGGAAAACTCCTCTCCAGTGTTTTGAATACGGTGGTAGTTAAGGGTGTTTATGGAAGAATATTCTGAGTTTTTAGAAATCTAAACCGACAACTGTGACTCTTGAGGAACGCCATTAGAATTAATTACTTCATTAAAGTGAACATGTACTTGGTTCTGAAAGGTATTACAAACGTGGAAGAGTGGTGTGGTACAACATAATGTCCTGCACACAGATCTTCAGAGGCTCTGTGGTATTGAATGTATTTTTACCCTCAGCTCTACTTTTTACATTTTGTGTGCTTTGGAACTACCTCAGCATCTACAGGGATAAGGTAATAGAGCCTTTGAAATTAACCAGCATGAGGACACATTAACTTGTCTCCATTATGTCAATATAGCTAAAAAAAGAAAATTGGCCAATTAATGTGTAACAATAAGAGGTAATGGATTTAACATTGAGCAAGATTATTACCTGATATTTTATAAGCAGTTACCTGAAGACACAGAAATCATCAGTACAGAAGCGTGGAAAAGACTTAACACTTTATTTCCAGATACAAAAATTCCAACAGAAAGAAGTCAGACGAAAGCTGGTGATTTTACTTCAAACTGCAGTCACAGGCATTTGGTCTGAGTTGCTTTATCGATCTAACATCTGTCACCAGCTGTCACACGTGGTCAGGCTTGGTTCCTGAGATGCAGCAGCAAACCAATAGTCCGTCAGAGCAGTAAAACAGTGTACACCACCTTGCTGAAGAAACTCAAAGACAGCTCCAGGCATCTCCCTAAAGAACACACACAGCTTCTGGCCAGTAACAGCTACTAATTTGAAACTCTTCTTTCCATGTGAAAGTACGGTATTTTTCCCTTTTTCACAAACAGCTTTCAGTTCAAAGATTGCTTCAGAACCTGAGTGCAAATTATCTTGGTGTATTTGTATAGAGAAGTCAACAGAATGCTTATGACTTTTTTTTTCCCCCATAAAATTAATCATTCTCTTTGTATCAGAAAGATGAAAATTAGGAAAATACAGAATGGCAGACGTGCTGGGTTCACATACAGTGTGACTGAAATCTCTAGCCCCAAAGTAACATTCAAAATACTCATGTTTGAATAAGCCATTCTCTGAATTGAATCTGTGATAATTTGTAGGCTTATTTAAAATGGCTGGAACGGGAAGGGAAGGAACCGAAGTTGCCTGGACTAAATCTGTCCCACAAACAGCTTTTCTTCCTCAACTTTGCCCAGGTAATAACCCTTGAATACCCACTACATGCTACGTGAAAGTATAAATCGGGTTAGTCTAGAGTTTAGAGAGAAAATCAGTGTTGAGTTCTGCTTGGAAAGTTGTTGTATCTATTCTGCTTCCTCTATAAAACATATTCCCAACTATATTGTAACAAATGGGATGTCTCTTAGAAGAAAAAACTTTGAAAAACAGGGAAAAGGTATCGGAATTGAATTCCCTTTAATGCTGACCCACTAATGATAAATTTTCCTTGTCTAGGTTTGGTGTGGTTCCTACAGACCAGAATATGCCAGCCAGTCAATAAAGACAGATGTTCACAGCCCTCTGAAGTACAGGTGGGTTTATTTACTGATAGCATTGCTTGGTTCAATGCTTTGCACCAATACAGCACAAAAGGAGAGAGCGGCTCATTGCTAGTAGCTGGCTGCTGACAGACAAGATAAACATAGGCTAACTTTTGGAAATCCTGCCACAGCAGGACACTGCTGAAGAGTACATTCCTTTACTTAGCCTGGTGAGTTTGCCAACTTACACAGAATACTTGTTGTAGCTCTTAATTAGCTGCATGAGCTGTGTTCTTGCAGAGCTGGCGCCTCATGCTCTGAGACTGGAACTGGGTTATCTGACTGTAAATCACCTCATGGACATAGCTTTCTGTTTTCCAGAGCAGTGGTCTCCATGCAGTGCATCCACATAAATAAGTTCCTTCTCTTTGTTCAGGGTGATGGGATCTCTGCAGAACTTCGAAGCCTTCTCAGAGGTGTTCCACTGTAAAAAAGGCACATCCATGCATCCTGCAGAAAAATGCAGAGTTTGGTAACCAAAGGAACACTGGCAAGAATGACAGATACTCTGGTGACACAGTGAACAGTTTTTGCCAATGACGTGCCTGATGTTTTCCCGTTCAGTCACAGCCAAGGCCAATGGTGCAGCTACTGTAGTTTGAATCAAGGAAACTACAGCACTCAAGCTCACTGGGAAGTGCAAAAGAATCTCAGTGACTGAGGGGCTGTGCTGAAAGCCACAGTATGCTCCAGAACAGACATGACTGTTTGAAACGACATCCTGACTGTTACTAAGATACCACATCAGGGTTACAAAGACTAATTCTTAAAAATAAAAGACAAACCAACAAGCAACTACAGATCTATTTTTCAGAAAGGAACAATACTTTTAATATGTCTTACAACTGCGCCTTCTGAGATTCAGCAAACCTGTTTGAGGTGTTTCACTGAACTGTTTTCTAGTATTCCGATACCATTTCTGGTGCATTCTTCCCAGGTTCAGGATACAGCTAGTTGAAATTCTCATATTATCTGTCTATTTGCACTTTGATTACTGCTTTGATGTAAGAGATTGCTATTTGTCTTGATATGTTACAAAATGAGCTGTATGTTAAAATGCCTGTCAGCTGCTGACTTAATGCAGAACTGCACTCTCCCGTTTGAGTTCTTCTGCTCCAAAGAGCAACTGTATCATGACCTTAAAGTGAGGTATTACTAGGTAGAAAGATCAATTTTAGGAGTAAAAATTCTATTGTTATGGATAAAACTACAGGGTCTCTTCCTTCAAAGATATATTTTAAAAGATGCTTATTCTTGTAGAAGTGTATAAAATTATTTTGGGCAAATAATTGAATGGAAACAATTAAGTAGTTCTTAATCCCAAGCCTGATCATTTTGCCATAGTCTATTTTTCAGTATTTACACTTGAAAATATGACAAATGTTAAATTTTAATTAAAACAAAACCACAGTAGCCAATTTAGCAAGGATTTTGCTATAGAAACATTAGGGTGGCTTTTTAAGTAACTTTTCTAATATGATGATACTATTTTAAACTGCCAACACTTAATAGTGAATTTTAAATATTCTTCCAGCAAATGCTTTTTCTTTCTAGAACAGGAATCGCTGGAAAGCGAGATAGTAACTACAAGTACTTAGCTCATGAAGTGCCAAATCACACTGCTCATTTGCTTCACTTATTTTGTTTGCACACCACTAACAAGAGGTTTGATCGCCTACACAACAGGGAATGAAGCAAAAATCACTTAAGAGGAAAAGCTTTGCCCAACAGAGATGACCCACTGAAGTATTCTGGCCTATTTGACAACAAGAGCTGGATAGATCACTGAATGAAGCCCTCTAAACTTTGTTCGTTTTATCTGCTACAGTGAAATCAAGTTGCAGATAAATTGCAGCTTTTACTGTAGCTGGGAATATATAGTTCAACAGCATCTTACTTCTATCTTCAAAGTAATCTTGGAAGATTACTTTGTCAGAGAATCAGTGCTACCTCAGGGATTAACCACTCATCTGTGCCCTTCAAAGTCTGAGTTAAGTATAGAAGAGAGAATAAGTACTTACATAGGGTTGAGTTGCAGGTTTATTCCTTTAATCTCTCTTCAAAAAGATTAAGAACAGACTGTTCAGCACTCACCAGTAAAGTTGCCTACTGCAAACAAGTCTTACACAAAGCACAGAATTTGGCTTTCACCTCAGCTAATAGAGGAAAATTGTTTCACATCTGATTCGTTTCTGTGCTGCACCTCAGATGACTACATACACAGGCCTCTTCAAGGAAACGCAGCCTAAATTGCATTTGGTTTTATGTTAAAGCTGTGTCTATTAACTGGGGAGAATTGCACTTGAGCCCTTTCCAGAACAAACAAAATTCTTATTCTACACCGGGATTAAGCTCACTTAAATGGCTCAAAAGCTCTCAAAGGAAACCTTTACAGAACCAGGCATGTATTCCTCTACCTAGGAAAAGTGGGATCAGATCTGCAGCAAAACACCTCTGTGAGCAGAATTTTTCCAGTAGGGTGAAGTATTTTCTGCAGGAGCTTCTGATTTCTGCCCAGTAACATTTATTTGCCCCCCGTCTTAACACGTGGCTTGGTGTCCTTTAGCAGAGGGGATGCAAGTTAAAGCTAGGAAGTAACAGACACAAATGGATAGCTTAGACATTAATGAAGTTTTGGTTCAAACTGACTGGCTTCTGACTCCATCCAGAACTAGAACCATGCTGCAAGACTGCAGAAGTAGCAGGAGACCACTGGGATTCTAGTGCCCTAAAAGGCTTCCTGCATATTACATCATTTTACGCTGGCCATCATAAGGGAGGTAAGAGGCCAACACACCAACAAACTAGTGAGAATTAAGACTAAGTTCTGCATAACAACAGTGCTTTAAGGTGCTTGCAACTAGATGTTGAAAGCAAGCCTAGTAATGTTCCATTTTGGTTTTTATCCACTGCAACAACAAAGTAGTTTTGCTCTTGAATGATCCAAATGTTCTTGGCCCATATCTTGTTAAAACTGTCATAGAGACTAGGTTTGCATTTGCTTCTGGATTGGATTATACATGTAATAGGGTAGAAACTTTATTGTTTCTGAGGTGTTATCTATGTAGCTACCAACATGACCTAAAACCCGTAGAATGAAATGCTGTCCAAGCTTTGTCCTGGGCATTAAGTGAGGTTAACCATTATCACATCTAAAACTGATCCTTACTGATAGATCATTTGACTACTGTTTCCTATTTGAAGAAGTTTAATTTATTTTAGCATTAAATGACTGGTCACAAGATAGTCAAGTGCTCTGACAAATCAGCTTTTGTAACTTGATTATATGTGTATGGTGGCAGGCAAAATAAACTGTATTTATCTGCATTTTGTCTATCTTCATTTACTATGACTTTCCATGCTATGCTGCATGTGCATAGTAAAGCTGAATTTCTTATTCAGGCAATGAAAATGTTTCCCTTGTTTATCTAACACCTTCACATGGCTCTTCCAGTAAGCTAAGCCAGCCAAAGTGCATTTCTTTCCTCTGTCCTCGTGTACCTTTAAGAGTCTGGTGTTCACGGTGCATCAGGACTCTCCAAGAAAAGCATCCTGGCCTTGAGACGCCTTCAATTTCCCCCCACATACCACAGTAATAGACACCCATTTTCCCAGTTTGTTCTGAGAGAAAGGAGCTCTCCCTGGGGCTCTAAAGGGAATCCTGCTATGCTCTGAACATTATGTTCCTTTTGTCAGCTTTGCTCAGAGCTGAACAATAACAGTTAGGTCTAGATTAATCTGGCAAATACAGATTTCATAACAGCTTTCAGTAGTTTACTTATCATCATGAAAATGTTTTTATTCTAGGGTTATTATAAGGAGAGAGACATTTTATATACTACACTGAGCAGTAATTTGTCTGCTAAGTCTCTAGTAACTGTACCTCTGGATAACATACAATTGGAATACTTAAGGGACAGTAAGGAGAAGCAAATTTGATGAAGAACTTGAAAAGCTTTTGATGTAAAATCCAAGAGGATATATGGAAATAAACAAAACCAACACATACAGAAACCAACACATTCTGTTAATTGCCAACACGAACAGTATCACAAACTTAAGGATAGAATCTGGCACGGTATCTTGATGCATATCATACGTACTCGTGTTTGTAGTGATGCAGCAAACATACAGGACTACTAATGCATGAAGGCAAGTTTACCACAAGTAAGCAGTATGGAGAACAGAGAGTCCTTGTGGCTTCGTTTTTGCTTCATTTTTCCATGCTCTTTTTCCATTATCTGGTGAGCTCTTGACTTCACTGCAAGAAACACAAGAGTAATGATGGCTGGGGAGCAGGTTATATATCCCAGCGCATTCCCAACCTGCTGGAAAGGTCCTTTACTCATGAGACAATTCAGAATTATGCACAAGAGCATAACCACACAGTTACAAAAGAAGAGTCTGCCAAAGTTGTGACTGGTAATACAGTGCTATAGTCCAGTTAAAACTGTTTATAAGAGCTATAAGTATGCTACAAATATTACAGTGGTATTAACTTAAGTACTATTTAGTTACTTGAAATGGTCCTGGGGCTGGTCAGATTTGCATCTAATCCTTGTCTGAAAGCACAAGCTGTTGTCCTGGATTACTACATTCACATGGCAGTTCTGGCCTAGAGAATTATTTTATATTCATTCACTGGAGTCTTAGCAGAGGGACTGTGAAACCGTCTGATACCCGACTGCTAGGCAGTCGCTGCCTACTGCTGGGAAACTCAGGCAAGTGACAACAGTATGTATATGCCAAGCAAGGGAACCAGCACACAACTGTGCAGAGGTCAGGTGGAGGAGGTTCACACGGCTGACAATTTAATTACCCTGCAAAATCATTAAGCTCTGGAGATGTGCCATTAGAAGTTCTGGCACATGCAACTGCTAAAGGGATAATTAAAATGTGCCTGGGAGGTTTTATTCCAAGTTATTATTACAGCACATGGAAGTTACTTTATTTTTCTCTTCTAAGTTTATTATGCCTCCCACCTGCAGAAGAATCTCTCCATCTGTTGCTTTCTGTCTTTGCCAGCACAGCCCAAGTGCATAAGCTACAACCACCCATCACAGTCCCACACGTGCCCTCTTATTTCACCCCTATTGCGGTCATAAATCCCCTCCGCAGTCACAGCCCCTACATCATGATAGCTACCAGCGACCTTGATGACACAAGAAGAGACACGAGCTCCGAGTAAGTTGCTGCTCTGCAGCAGGTTGCCTTTCTGGAGCCTGGTTGGACTTTGGTGCTTAGTGGATCACGGAGCAACTTGGCTGCACGCAGGCATCTTTCTGTCCCAGGTGCACCCCATCACCAGGGGGGTCCCCACGGGTGGGTTTGGTGCTAGCCCAGCTGCCCCAGGGCACCACACAAATTGTGAGAGGGCTCTGGCACTTGGCAGACTGAGGGTTTGAGTTTTTCCAAAACTGAGAAGAGCACAAAAAGCTAGGACCCCAGCCACGCAGCAGCCTGGAGGGGGGAAATAAAAAAGCCTTCATAAAATTACATATAGCTCCTACACACAGGTATTTAGACAGATACAAGGAACTTCTGCACCTCTTGGTACAGGAACCTTTATTTCATTTATTTTCCGCCGCTGAGATGTTCTTACAGATAGCAAATTTGGCTCTTATTTCATTTCCCCAGGGCCCCGGCAGTCACTGTAAAAGAAAAAAGTGTTTCCCTTACTTACCTGTGTGCAGCACACCCCACTGAGACTGCAGCAACAGCATCTTCTCTGGGAATGGTGTGTTCAAGAAGTCCCACCTGCAGAGCAATAACACCCCAGATCATCTCAAACCACGGTGCCCACACCCGCCTCTTATGAGTATTTGGGAAGTCCATGGCCAACACAGTAAATCAAAAGGGTTTATAATTTTGTGAGGCAAAATGGGCATAACTAAAACAAATTTACTATTTGGAGTTACATCCTTAGAAAGAGATAGAGAATCTAGAAGGAAGAAGCTTTTTGTAGTGTAAGCCAGACCTCAGCCAAGGTTTTTCAAAACAAAAATGGATAGTGAAAGGACATCTTTCCAAGGGGAAAAAAACGTTCATTTGTAAGGTACACCCCCTTCTCTCATGGACATTTGCAAAAATTTAACGCTGATACTTAGAAACTTATTGTTCTGCCTCCCAAACTCAGAACCTTGTTTAACCTAAGAAAACTTGCTTTTTCCATAGGAAAAGCAGCAGTGACTTGTTGAATTTTTTTGACTGTCCCATTCCCACCTCTCAGGTCTCAGGAAGCAAATGCAAACAGTTTCACTTTAATTCATGTGTGAGTAAGCATCTAAGAGGAACTGCAGATAGCCTTCCTTGTTTAGAAAGCTGCTGCTCAAGTCCAACAAGCTGCTATTCTTCCCCTCTAAATTTGGAGAGCATTGCTGCAGCAGTTACAACAACTCCTAATCTGAAGCCTGGCATACCACAGTGTTTTAGACAGATAAGTCTGAACACACGACTGAGGTAGCGTCTGGCTGGCAGTCTCGAGACAAGGTTGGGAAAAAAAAAAAGTATCGTTCATGCAACAGTTTTACAGAATATCAGCAGCAGAGTGCAAGCCAGCAAGAGCAAGGAGCCAGCACGCAGAGACCTGACCAAGTAACTCATGGTGCTCCTACCTGAGGTTTCATGCTTTCCTCAGCAGTCGTAGAGCTGTGATGACTTCTCAGGTATTTTCAAAGGAACGTAGTCACCTGGGGAGCCCTGTGTGTGACCATCTTTTTCCTGTTACCTGCACGAGTAAATAATGCATTTCACATTAGTTAAGAATGAAGCTGTCCTAAAATGTAAGTTTATAATATTTTTTAAAGGAATGCCCAACAACCCAGAGCTTTCACTACTGAAACAGGGCTTATGCATGCCAGGAAGTAACAAGATGCATGCTCATAACCTGCAGAGCTTTCGGACACATTTTACCCCACACATTGTGCCCTACCAAAACCAATAAAGCCCATCAGGCACTCACACACTGTACTGCTTCTGTTATTTATGGCTGCTTCCAGGCTATGTTCGGTGTAAGAGCTGTTTGAGTCTGTCCTTAGAGACGTGGGTGAACAGCCCCCAGCCCAGCCCTTCCACCACCCCTTACCCCCAACCCTACACAGCCTCAACCACAAGAGCAAACAAATGCAGGTAACGGGGCAGAAATCGGAAGCTCCTGCAGAAAATACTTCATCCTAGTGGAAAATTCTGTTCACAGAGGTGTTTTGCTGCAGAGCTGATTTTGTTTTACATTCATAGGTACTTAAGCATCACAGAGGCTCTGCTACACACCCAGGAAAAGCAGATTCCCTTCTGATGTTTTCCAGGAGGGGGAGGGAGCCCTTTCCTGCTCCCATGCTGCCACCTGGCGACAGAGCAGGCTCCAACTCCTAAAACAGACCAAAAGATTAAACACGAGCAAGATTTTTCAAACTCCAGTACGTAAAACGCACGCCTGCTGTAGATGCCACCCACACTGCTTCTGCGGCACGGTTTGCACTTCAGCTGATTCCCAACAGGAGTTCTCTGTATGTGCCTGGGAAATAAGGTGCTGCGGACAAGAGGGAAGAGGAAGCGCAGGAAATTCCTGTCGTACATCAGTCGTCCCCAGCTGCTGGTCGCCAAACAATGACTGGGCTGGAGGACACGGCTCTTTACACGGCTCTCAAAAACAAAGCCACAACTGCTGCCTGAAGGCTGTGACAAATCCCTCCTCCAGGGGAGGAGGCTGACCCAGTGCTACTCGGCTCTTCTTCAGGCAGTTCTCTGACTTGCCATTTGGAGCTTTGGTTTGAAAGTTTGTTCGCGAGAGCTTTTAACTAAGGGACGGACATAACCCTTCATAAACGTGCATCGCAGAACAAGCAGGAATAAACCACTAGCAGGTTTTACAGTCAGCCACGTGGTTTTGGTGGAAAACATCCAACCCCGTGAAGCGTAAGCCAGCTGCCGAACAACTAATTCAGAGAAAAAGTCAGGAAAAAAAAAATGTTCACCCAATGAGTGTTTCTATGGATTTTTTATGATGTATTCAGTAAGTCATACACATTTTGCATGGGCATCTTGTAAGCAAAACCCTTCAGTGTAATCAGAAGCACTGTTGGAAAAAATACACTCTCTAAATGTGCTTTACACCTTACCCCATTCGTCTGTCCACATATAAGCAGTCACAGCATCATATGGAGAGAAACTGGGAGGTAGAAGGGATTTTCCAGCACTGGCCGACACCTGATGACTGAAATGAAACAAAGTGAAACACAGCCACGGGAAGGTGGTTTTATGGTAGCTGTGCCCTCTGGTGGCTAAAAATTTAAATTCTTACAAACTTTTCAAGGGCTTTAGCTTGATAAAATTGTTGGCTAACACAACTCGATGAGGGATTTCTAGCCAAAACATCCCCTGTGTTCGCATGCAAGCAGCAGAATTACCACATCTGTTTTACCTGCTTTTAGTGCTTTGCACCTAAGTATGAGCTTACCCAAAGGTCAGGCTGTTGTCACAACTATTAGGAAAGAAGAAACCCCAGCGACCCCGTGCCTCCTCCAGAGCTGCTTACCAATGAGGGGAGGGATCTGCTCCCCTCACTGTCCTCCCACCTGAATCCAGGGCCTGCCTTTTACAGCTCCCAAACCTCCACCAAGCATTACCAGCAGCATCACTGCAACCCAAGGAAGCAAGCTGGTGGCAAAACAAAAATGACAAAGCACAACAAAAGCGTGCTTTGAACTCTCAGAGAAGTGGCAGGAAGGCATTAGAGGGTGCCCAGTACTGCAGTGATCCAGGCTGCTTCCTCTCAATGCCAGGTGAAAAAAATCAGGTGAAAGGAGGACTTGGATCCCAGCTGCTGCCTGTAGGGCCACCCAGTGGACAGGTGTAAGGCTTTTCCACCCAGGTGAGGAGGTTTTGGGTGGCTGGGAGGCACAGTGCCTGAGGAGGAGCTCTGTACAATTCAGCTGGGATGTGTGAGCGGCTCCTGCTTACCTCAGGGGGTTCGAGGTGTAAAGGTGATGGAGTCATGAGAATATAGATAGCAGACAAGAACATAAGCTCCTTTCACTTCACAGAAAGCTTATTTGGAAGGCTGACGTGGTATTTTCAGGGGGCCAAGTGGCTGTGTACCCCACAGAGACAGGACCCAGCAGAAGTTGCACACAGATGCATTTTATTGCTCTCTACAAACCCAGAGACGCATACACGGTATGCACACATGCCATAGGGCTGTCCCAAGAGTGGGAGAAACACCATCCACCATGAATTACACCACTTAATACAGACAGCAATCATTATTATAATGAAAATGATAGAAAAAGCACAGCTTACACCCAAAATGTATAACATTGACCAATCAAGCTTCTTATCTACCACTTTTCTTTAACATAAAGCAGTAACACACTCTTTTCCTAAATCGAAAAAAGCAGCAGAACAGTAGAAATATTCCACATAGTTTCCTACCTCCTGTTCATCCATCACACTTCATACACTAGGACTATCAGAGGGTCAATAGAGAAAAATCCAAGGCAGAACAAAGCCACCTGTGATGCAGGACAAGTTATAAGCAAGCAGGGGGAAATGACATTTAACCAAGTGTGGGTGAACAAAAGGGTGGGACGTTTATCCTCCAGGATGACTGAGCAAACAGGCACTGCTAGTCAAGCCAGAGCAAAGCCGATGGCTCGTACAGGTCATATCAGAGAAATCTCTCCTACAGCAATTCTCGTCCGTCACAACTGTGACATCTACAAAACACCCTCCTCCAGTCTGAAGACATTGCCCCCCGACCAGGCAATGCTGGGTGCTGTGCCACCAGTGCCCACAGCTTCAATATTCAGCAGAATGCCTCAACTTCTGCCAAAGGCTCCCATGAAAGTCAGAAGTCTGCCATTCTTTTCACACATAAATAAAACACAGGGGGAAATCGTATTCCCTACAGGAGAGAGGATCAGAGCTGGACTACCAGATGCAGTCAGATCCTTCCTCTGGACTCTAAAGGCAAAGGTCCGTGGAGCGAGGACTCCCCTGACTACCAGGGCCTCCAGAGAGTACCAGTGTCTTTTGGAGATGCTTGCTTCAGGGCGCTGGGCTTGCCGGGGGAAAAGGCAACCTCTTGAGCTGCTGCCTGGCTCTTCTGGAAGTGACTTAAGAGCTTGGTCTGTGTCTCAGTTCGGACTTTATGAAGAGAGAGGAAATGGAAAGCTTCTTGCAGACACCTAGAGTAGCCCTCTCTGAAGTCAAACTGAGAGCTTTTATGGAAGGATGCTACAGCTAGAAGAAAAAAGAGGGAGGAGAAAGAAATAGAAGTTTAGAGCAGTTGTTCATGGCTAGAGATTCATAAAACTGTAACAGCTTTATAGTAAGCTGGAGACTGAAGTAAACTCGATACTCACTCTTCAGCTGCAGCTGGCTCTGCTGTTTCAGGTAGCTGACGGTCATCTCCAGGATGTCGGCTTTCTCCAGCTTGGAGTTGGGCTGGTGCCTCTGGAACTCCTTCTCCAGGAGCAGCTTCAGCTGCTCGATGCTGCTGTTAATCCGGTCCCGGCGCATTTTCTCCACCACCGGCTTCCTGAGCTGTAAAAAGCAAAGGAAAAGAGACCCACGGTTAGATCTCTGCCACCTCACACTGTTCCCAAATAACGTGGGACAGTTTCTCAGCTGCTGTAACTTGCTATGAGAACAGCTGAGAGCGTGGCTCCGAGCTGCCTCTCTGCAGCTGGACTTACTTTGTTTTTCTCCTTTGGCGTCAGCAGGTTGTCAGGCTCCAGGAACACAGCGCTGGGAGCCATCTGTCCCGAGAGGAGGGAAGGTCTCAGAGTGGGAATCCAGGAGAAACGTGGTGCTGGAAGCTGCCTTTACCCTATATTTATACCCCGCAGCTTCCCGGAGAGCCTGTGGGTCTGCGGCTCGGCGGAGTTTCCCACACTGCAGGGCCAATCAGCGAGATGGGCAGCACAAAGGGAGAAGCTGCTATTCTTGCATGCTCGGCTGGCAGTGAATAGCCCGGGGATAATGACCTTCTCCCAGATGAGCAGGTGGGGAATGCGTGGGGCGTGAAAGAGCGGGATCCGAATTACGCCTCAGAAGCTGGGAAAGAGCTGGCCATCCGGGGCAGGGGCTGCTGAGCACCACTGCACGTCAGTGGCATTCCCAGCACACCGGGACACGGAGGCTGGTCACTGATGGCAGGACCCCAACAGCTCCATGCAGGTCCCTCTGGGGACACTCCGAGGCACACGCGTACACGTGCGTGGCTGCACACGCACACACGAGCGGTTTCTGTAAGCCCCTTTGCCTTGTGCTCACTGCAAGGCACTCGATTGTACTCCCTTAGGTGAGTGTGGCACAGCTGAAACAGAGAAGTGCTTTTCTGGCTTGCCTCACTGCAAAGAAATACATAAAAACCATAAATACACATAGTTTTCCAAAAAGTTCCTCTTTTGAACTTTGGTCTCCTCCTCGAGATCTCGGGCACCTCTTTGGGACACTCTCAAGCCCTGTGACAAGCACCTGAGGTTGCTGCTTCCAAACACCTGCACGACCAAACCGAGAGGAGGAAGATCTGAGTGTGGGGCTCAGGTCAGCCTCACGTGCTGATTTCTCACTTCTTTCCCAAAACTTGTTTTGCTCTAAGTCCTTTATTTCATCTACACACAGAACAAATTCACTTAGCCCACAAAATTGTTAGAAATCAAGTTCCTGACTCCTTGTTTTGCAGGGGCTTGGTTTCTGTACTGAGATGCAGCCTCTGCTCCAGCAGTGCCTGCAGCTGGGGGTGTTAATGGTGCTGCCCTCTGCATCCCATAAACACCCCCGGAGATTCACGCTGCAAAACTCGAACCAGATCTGCCTGCACCTAACCTGGCCCCTGCCCATGCAAGTGCTGCTTGCTTTTACGAGCTGCAGCCGCACACAGCTGGAGAAGGGAACAGCAGCAGCGTGTTCCCTGCATCCTCTACACCCACAACCTGCATGGAGAAAGCTGCCAGCAGCGTGTGTCAGAGCCGCGCTGCTCCCAGATTGACTCCCTGTGTGCTCTGAGACCCCATCGGTGCAATTCACCTTCCTGTGAGCTTCGGTATCCCCTCTGCAAGAACCAACACAGGCGTGGTAGTTGTCAGATAAAGTCTGTAAAGTAATGCTGGGGTTTGGTTGGGGTCTCTTACTGAAATGGAAAAGGTGCTAAGTAAATCCTGTTTGTGCTTACATTAATTTATGTGTGGTCATCTATATATTGACATATTTTAACATGAATGCACACACACATGCCTACATATCTCTCTCACCCTGCAACTCATTTATTTCTAGGCCCAGGTAAGGCTTCAGTGCCCTCCTGCAGGCTCTGCTGCTCCGTCCCCATTGTGCTGCTGCTGAATAGGCTCCCTTCTTGCCGCACAGAGCAGCAGCTGTTGGGCTCCGAGGCTTTTATGTCAAGTTGTGGGAAAGTTTTTGTGACACCATTTCACATGTTCTCCTCAAAGCTGGTGGATTATCTCTGAGCTCATGTAATGCCACCTCCGAAACCAATCTTTCCCTCTGCGCATCCCTCTGGGGGAGATTCCCTGAAACAGAAACTCCTGAGCAGTAACTCATTGCTGGAGCTCATTAACCAAGTGCATGAAGAAGAAATGTGGCAACTACAAAATCAGCAGTGGCCACTGGCAACTTTGCTAGGGACAATTTCTGTTTCCCTGACTGACTCGCTAGGAAGCAGCTCTAAGTCCTATTTCCCCTTGCAGCACAGGTCCAAGGAAGGACCTGTTTAGTCCAAGACCTGTTTAGTCCAAGGAAGGTGTTACAAGTACCAGATGCCCTCCCTGTACCAGCTTTTCTAGCAGCTCAGCTCCCCACATTTGGCCGGCCCAAAGGCAAGCAGCAACAAGGAAAAGTTGTGCCAACGCCTCGCCAGATCGCAGGGCAGCAGTGGTCGTGCCCTTGGCACAAGAGGTGCCAGTGCTCCAACTTTCTTCCCCATTAGGATCCAGATTGACCCGAAGCCTGCTGCTGAGATGGCTGAATGCTTATTTAATCTCCTGTAGCCTTGAGAAATTCACTTTACCACAGAGGATGGCGGCCCTCTAACCTTAGAGATACAAAATGTCCCCCCAGATGATATATCCATGGAGGTTCCTACATCCTTGCTCTGTGCCACATGTTGATTTTAAAGTATCTCAAATAAAAGCATATATTTAAAATAGCTTTTTATTTTCTCTGTAGTTTCGCAGTCTGTGAGGGGTAAAACCAGCCAATTACTGACCATCCTGGAACAGTAACTCAAATGAGATGCCCAGTTACCCAAAATGGATGCTCTGTTTCTGCTTTGGTTGGAAATCCTGAAGAAAAACAATAATAAAAATCACCCCTGGTATAAAGTTAATTGAGCCAGTGGACGTTGCGCTAAGGATAATGAATTCTGAATTACCCACATCTAGTGTGGTCCCACAGAGAATATTGGACAGAAAAGTTACGGCGATCCCGAGATGCTGGATCTGGGTGTTTGAAACAGGGCCTGAGCAAGAGCCTTCCCCCAGAAACTCGGCCAGATGTTAGCTCTGTAGGGTGACTCAAGGATGCTGCTGCTTTCCCAGGTCTGGAGGGCCGCTCCTTGCCCCCGTTGCCTCTCTCCTGCTCTGTGCTGCCCAGATGGCCTTTTGGGAGCAGGGTTTCCCACTGAACACAATGCAGAGGCAAGCACCGTTGCTAATGTGGTTTGTAGCCAGGCACACTTCCTTTGTGACGGGCATGAATGCGGTTAAGAAATGGTGTGGGAAACCCCAAGGTACGCCAACTTCCCCAGCCTTATGTCAGGGGTGTTGAGAGCGCCAAGGTGCCGGGGAGCAACGCCCCAGAGAACAGGGCAGGGGGCTCAGCTAAGTGCTTCGTCCTACAGAGCACACTGAGGTGGAAAATAAAATGGGTCCCGTCCTAACAGCCCCATGCAGGTGGAGGTCCTCGCTGGAGCCAGCAGGCACTCCGGCCTCTGGGGAGCAGGCTGCTACTTTCAGCCTGTAGGGTCTGTACCTACAGGGCTGCTTTCGAGTCTCCGGGTACACAAATCACCTCCACAGGGGGATTTATCCACATTTGCCCCTGACAAACACCAGGACCAGAATCTCGTTATTATTACCAGCATCGATTACTGCTTCCCATTTCTTTCCTCTAAACACCGCGGAACAGTGCAGAAGTGTTAATGAAGAGAAGAGCTTCCCCGCAATATCGCTGGTATAAAATCTGAGCTAATTTTCTTAAAAGCCAAGCCTGGCTCCTGCAGCTCCTGGCCAACACCTGAGCCCACATCAGGGCCAAGGGGCAGTTCCTGGCCCACCTGTAATGAGCCCGCACAGCAGGCAGGCATCAACTCCTCAGGAACGGGAGGCTGGGTGAGCAACAGGGGCCATACACAGCTATCACCATGCCCTCACGGTCCATAAAAGAGTCACCTCTTGCCCTTGGCACTGTGCAGCAAAGAGATGTGAAAATCCCACCACCAAGTATGGTGATGCTGCCTGCCCTGGGGGTGTTCCAGAGCTCAGCATTTCCATGTTTGTTCCAGGAAAGCCCGTGGGCTGGCACGTGGAGCTAGGGGTCCATGCCCCATCGTATCCCTACCTGTGACGTGCTGTGATGTTTGCCATCGCATTCAGGCAGGCCAGGCTTCACTAACACCAGCAAGACAGAGGACTGAGCAGCATGGGGAAGGGGCAGCCTGCCTGTGACACGGCAGCAGAGGCTTGGTGTCCACCAAGGCCTCCATGGATGGTCGCAGCAAAACAAAATCATGTTATTGCAGCAAAGCTGAACTGTGGCAATGCCTCACCTGCAGCAGGATCCCCAGGCTGGCAGGAGGGAATCCGTCCTGTAATGACACCCTACAGTTACGTTACAACAAGCAGCAGTTCAGAGCAACACACCGGGGCACTGAAGAACTGGACAACCTTCTCGGTCTGTTTCCAACAGTTTGCACGAGCTTGGGAGTGGCTCAACTGATAGCAAGGGTCTGCGTTTCCAGGGACATATTAAACAAATCTGAGGAATTAAAGAAACAGAACAGAGTATGTGGCTCAGGGGCCTTGGTGTGGGCTGACGCCACCTCTGCTGCCTTCAGTGGGGCAATTTTCTTTGGCCTCACGGGCGGAAGAGCAAGATTCTGCTCCTGCAGCTCGTTCCTCTGGATTTCCTCCTAGCCCTGCCTCGCTCTGCTGTTGGCAGTCCCGTCTTCGAGCCTGGCATTTCTGTTTCCCTGCATAGCTTCCTTCACCTCTTTCCTTTTCCTTGGGCATCACGCAGGTTTTTATAATCTGATTTTTCGTCCTGTCACTCTTTTTCCCTCTGTGTCACAGGCAGATGTGGTCTGAGCATAGGAGTGTCTTACAGCCCCTCAGACTGTGTGAGTTTGGAGTCCCTTCCAGTTTCCCACACTGCTCCCCTATTCACTGCATTCAGGCGGAGGATAAAGGAAGTGTGCCATGCTACAAGCTGAATTAGAAATGGTGTTTGACTTCCCTTTGTACTTCACAGAAACCTTGCTCTGGGTAGACCATCTGCATAGCACTCACTGCGGAGAAAACCATTGATCAAGGCCTGTCAGCCCAGCTGGGGGAACTTGGGAAAGTAATTCCTTGTGCCACTTCACTTCTTTAGGGCTTAACATCTGGCTGCAGGGGGAGGCGACAGTTGATGGTTTAACAGTCGTGCTTCCTTTCAAGTTTGGGATGCTGTTTTGATCCCCTATAAGCCTTTCTGAAATCCTGTTTTTAATAACATGGAAAGCATCCAGAAGACCAGGAATAATGCACTGGCTTTGCATTTTCAAAGTGCTTTACAAATACCAGCTAATGAATTCTCAGCAACCTCCTCTGCAAGATGAGGATATATTATTAGTGATGTTTTACAAAGGAAGAAAATGAGGCAGAAAGGAGGAACCCAATATTTCAAACAGCCTCATGGTTGCAGTGCTTCTATACCCAAGTGGTCCGTTTGGGACTTTTACAAAGATGCTCAGCACTCACTTTTGTTTTAATTAGTTTTGTCAGCTCTGAAAAGCAGCCAGCTCCCCAGCTTGTGGGAGAACTTGGATTACCTGCCCAGACCACACTTGGAGTCGTGCCTCTCCTCAATAAGCAGATGCAAAAATTCTCCTTTGCTCTCAAGTTCAGCAGTGGGTTTTGAGAAGGGTGTTCAGCACAATTTTTTCAAGTCCATGAACTGGCTGAAAAGGAAGATGCGCTCAAATGCTTGATCAGGAAATACTTGATAACCTCATCAAAAGAAATGAACTTGATCTCTTGGAAAAGCAAACCAAGATTTAGTTTGTTTATTCTTGCTCCTGGGGACCAACCAAGCCTCAGTATTAAGCTGCTTTATTAACAGCTTCCCCCCCAAACTAGCGCTGTAAATGCTCGTAGGCACAGTTTATGCTGCCAGCTACACAGGTGACCTTCTGGGGGTCGTTCTCCTACCCACTGCCTCTCTAGACTGTTTCCTTCAGAGCTGGGCTCTGTTTGTTGCACCACATTCCCTTGACACTGACATCTGACAAGGTGCCTTGCCTGGAGCATGATGGTGAGGGCATCCAACCCTGCCTTACGTGCCATGTGAGTTCCTAAGTGTGTTCCTCTGCTAAACCTCTGCCCGGCTCTCGACTAGGTTATCTTGCTTCTGAAAAACCCCTCTTGTCAGGCAGATCCATCCTCATTCTGCTACCTGCTCAACCCACCTTGCCTGCCACACCAAGTGGTCCTTGGGACCAGACCCTGAAACCACCCTCCCAATCTTAAACCTGCTCCTCTGAAATCCTTTCTCTGCAGGAGAACTTTTACTCCCCAAAATGTTTGGCAAGGCTATCTGCTAAGTCTTGGAATTTTATCACGAGCTATATGATACTTACGGCCTTCAGTAGGAGTTCAATGTCAGAAAGGTTTGTTAAACCCCTACAACTTTCAGCTCATTTCATGATTTGTTGAAGCCCAAATTTTGACATTTGAAAGGTTGGCATTAATACCAGATCAGTGTAAAAACTGAATACCACCATCATGAAAAAATAATAAATAAATAAATAAATAAATAAAACACAGGGAAGGAAGTGCATGAGCTCAGCAGCTTGTGTTTGCTCCATCCCTTGGCAGTGCCAGGCTTCTCCCCTCCCCTAGTAGGAGCCGAGGCGGTGACTGATGGGCTCTAGGAATTTCGGAGGGCTTTGGGAGCGTGTGTCCCCACTGGAGTCACCAGTATTTGGGGGGGTTTAGGCTCTCCAAACTGGCAGCACGTGCAAGAAAACTGCTGTGGCTCGGCGCTGCCCCGGAGCTGGGACCAGCTGTGGTACCAAGACCCTAACGCAGCACCAACCGGCATGGCTGGGTCCCCAGCAAGGGCAGGAGGAGAGGATATTTTCTGTGACTGTTTTATACAGGATTTTGAAGGAGGAGGGTGGTAAACACATAACATGGTGGCTCCCGCAAAGCCTGCTCCCAGGGCAATGTGTTCCTTTGAGACATAATTGATTCCTGCCATCAGGCACCAGCCTGCTCTCCCCCAGGGTCAGCGCTTTCCCACATCCAACCCCATTATCCCACAGACCATGCCTTTTGTACAACACACTCCAGCTATTCATGTGCAAAGCAGCTGTAATCCCCAGACCTTTCAGAGTCAATATACCAGGAAATAATAAATCCCTCTTGTGCACTCTTGAATATGCTGAGAGGTGACTTGTGGGAATTTCAGCTGGGCAGAAAAATAATAAATTCTCCTTAATTTTTAATTATTTGTAATACTCACTGTAGTAAGACTATGTCATTGGGGCATGACGATTTCAGGGTCACCCACACAAGCAGCTATGGAAATTGCTTTTGCCTCTAACAACCCTGAAAATGCAGATCGAGTTGTCTCATGTGTTTCTTAATGATCAAAGTCCACTTTCCTCCCCTTATGCACCTGGGAATGGCAGCATATTAAGCATTCTGAATCCAAAGAAAAACTAATTTTAAAGGTTAAACATGTAAAGAATGTACTTTACAGTAATTAAAGGTATTTTTGGCCAAGGTTCTGATGTCTAAAGAAGGCAGGATGATGCCATGCTAATGACATTTAATGTAATATTTTATACAGTCAGTCTAACAACAACATAACCTTTTCCCCTGGAAGAGGCAGGTTTCACTACACTTCCACTCTGTTGGTTCAGACGGAAGAATTATGTTTGGCTTGTGCTAGTGGAAGAAGCCAATCCTGAATAGCAAGCTCTGCAAGGTAATTTCTGGCAGGCAGGGTGAGGTGCACCTGGAGGGCTGGGAGAAGGGACCTTCCTCTGTGACACAACGGCAAGCAGTGGCTCATAAATTAAAAAAAAGTGTCAAAGAATTATTAGGAATCCCCTCCAATAGACAGCACCCTGTCTTTTAAAACTTCATCCAAGGAAACACCAAGAAGCAAATCACAAGAGGATAAAGCTGAAGGGGTGTGGTGACACTGCAGGGATTTGAAACCCTAGTGCCAAAACCTAGGAACCTCAGACACTAGGTCATGTCTGCACACGAGTGTGGCCCAAAAGACAGACCCTTCAGTTACACCAGGCATTCAAAGATACCATCAGCAGAGATCTATCAGCATCGGTCTATGTGTTCTAGGTGTTCTCACTGCTGTCTTCCTCAGCAATACAGTTGCTATCATGGTACCCATGAAAGCTAGGGCAGAGCTGGTGCAGTCCTGAATCTCTTCTCTTTTACCTGTGCCCACAAACCTCTCCAGCAATGCTAACCAGGGGCTGGCCTGAGGGAGAGGAGCTCACCAGAGGTCAGGCTGCACACAGGACAGATCCTGCCCGGCCCTGCTTTGCAGCAGCGGTGACAAAGGGATGCCCCAGTACTGCAGCTGGCCACCCCGTGTGCGAACCTGCATCCCTGCCCCCTTGCCCCACGCTGCCCCTTTCTCCCGGTGAACACAAATCCCTGAGAAACTCCTGCCCGCACGGCCAAACACGCGCTTTTCAGCCGTGCTGAGTGAAAAAGCCATGCGGGTTCAGAGTGCCCTGCTGACAGCGCGGGCTCCACAAAGGAGTTATTAGCACCAGGCTGTGTGGGTTTGAATTTCTCTGCGTTTCCCATACTTTTCCCCTATTGATAACATTTCTTGTTGGGACAATAGAAGCGTGCCTCGCAACTACTCACAACATTAGTGATGGTGCTTGAACCTGAATGATTTAAAGGGAAAGGATCCAACTCCCAAAAGACCATCTGGCTATCAGTTATAATACAGCAATAAAGGTCAGGGCTGCTTCTCAGGAGTTGGGAGAAAGATGTTCTTTGACATCGAAGAGTCTCTTTAACCAGCTTGGTACATGCCTACCTGTCACCTCCCAGCTTCCAGGCCTGACACCCCTGCTCCCTTTTGAGGAGAGAGCGAGCACAGGACGCCCAGTGCTGGAGGAAGGCCAGTCAAAGACTACAGAAGAAAGGGCAACACCTTATTGTAGCTGGCAAAACCCAGGGCATGGTCTCTGAGCCGTATCTTATCTTGCATCATAATCTTTTGACCGGTTCAAAGTCTTCCTGAGATGACTTGTCTCCTGGCTTTCCCACAACATGGGGATAAAGGGCTCGGAGGACAACATCTGCCCTTAACAAAGAGCTAAGCCCATTCAGGCCGCACAATGCGAGCCATGAAGCTGGCTATTGCGGTGACACCTCCCTCCTTCCTTCCAACTGCCCCTTACGCGGGCTTTGCTTCAGGATTTCCAAGCAGGAACGTGTCTTTGACTGTCTTACCTGGCCACACGCTTCCCCTCTCTATTTCCATTTCCAGACCCTTCCAGGTGTGCAGGGAGCAGATGAGCCCACCTCCGTGCAGCTTTGCTCTAGAGCTTCCCGGCTGGCTTTCAGTGCTGCCTTGGGACAGAAACCAGAAACAGAAACCAGAGGTGACTCAAGTGTCCACAAAGATTCACTCTTTTTCTTGCCTTTCCTACAAAATAGGTAACGTTGGCTTAATTTTTAGCCCAGTCTGCAGCGGAGCAGGGCGATGCTCCTGGCTGGGACGAGAATGTGGCATGCCAGGAGCTGCTTGGCTGCCCTTAACGAAAGCAAAGGGAACACTGGTGCGATGGGCTCACTGCCCCGTGTGTTAATGGGGAAGAGACAAAGGTCACAATCTCCACTGGCTTCACATTCCTTATTTATTAACCCTGTCCACCACCCTGAGTGGCACACGTTGGGCCAACAGACCTGTTGTTTCACTACCTCAGCTCACCCGTTACTGCTGCAAAAAAGTGTAAGAACCATATGGAGAAGCACAAACACACACACAGCCCCCAGCAAACTGCAGCTGGCAGGCTGGCTGCAAAGCACCCTCTCAAGAAAGAGCAGCGAGATGTCCCTGGTGCTGTTGCTTTTCACCCTAAACAGCATTTCCCTCTCTTTTTTTCCTGACTTCCCCCCAAAAGTGTGCCTCCTCCATGCCACAAATGTGCCTGGCACATGCAGGGCCTCCGGAATGCCACCGACCTCAGACAACCAGCTGGAGGCTCGGTGCTTTCCCAGATCCCTGGGCAGCCCCGGAGAGCTGGGCTGCACGCTCCACCAGTCGGCGTGGGCAGAAGGTTATTCTCTCCGGGGCATTTAGGATCAATGCACCGTGCACTGATGGATGCTTCCCCTATTGTTCGGCTGCGTGCCTGGATTGGCTGGAGGGCTGTGGGAAACACCAGCGACCCCAAGACTCACGTAGCTGCCAAAATGCTCCGAGGTATAAATAGAGGCGGCCGGTTGCTGCCAGAGCACAGCCGTGTGCTCAGTGCCCAGGCTGGAGAGCACCGGGAATGGCTCCCAGTAACGCTCTCGTGATCCACGTGGAGGAGAAACTGCTGCCAAAAGAAAAGAATAAAGTAAGTAGAGCCCCTAACGGGATCGGGCAGGTATGGTCAGGACTGGCCTGTGCCCCGTGCAAGGCGCTGCCTCTATCAAACAAGAATGACACGGGGAAAGATGAGATGAGGAGGGGGCATAAAATAGGGTAAGGAGACAGAAAGGGAAATACAGATTCTTTAAAATGAGACAACAGGTAGGCAGCATGGCAAAGGTCTCCTACAGAAAGCGTCCTGGAACTTTGAGCATGTCACGGCCTGGGTCAGGAGGGGCCAGCAGGCCAGGTGTCAGAAAACCCTAAACACCCTGCCCTGTCTCTTCCAGCTCAGGAAGCCGGTGGTGGAGAAAATGCGCCGGGACCGGATTAACAGCAGCATCGAGCAGCTGAAGCTGCTCCTGGAGAAGGAGTTCCAGAGGCACCAGCCCAACTCCAAGCTGGAGAAAGCCGACATCCTGGAGGTGGCTGTCAGCTACCTGAAACAGCAGAGCCAGCTGCAGGACCCAGGTGAGCACAGACACATCGATCACCACCCACAGCCCACTCCCCTGGGCAGCACCACGCCAGCTCTGGTCCCACGAGCAAGGTTTGTGGACTTGGGCTCTTGGAAAAAGCTTCATGCATGGATCTTAACCCCCTGAATGTGCTTTTCTCTCTCTTTTCTAGCATTCATCCACAAGAATCCAGAGCAGGACTTTAACAGCGGATACCTGCAGTGCCTCAAGGAAGCGATGCATTTTCTGTCCTTCTATGAACCCAAGAGGGAAACCCAGGCCCAGCTCATCAAGCATTTCTGCAAAGCCCAGACGGGTGCAGATGTCACGTACTCTCCTGCTCCTCGCAGGCCACCTCTGTCACCCTGTCTGCTCGCCAGAAAGCAGCCTGCCCAGAAGACCCCGGCTTCTACCATCTGGAGACCCTGGTAGACCTGCTGATGAACTTTGCTTTATTCCTATGTTTTGTTACAAAAAAAAAAAATAGAGGGACCTGTGACTTAAGAGTCCCTCTTTACAGTAGGAAACATTGCTTTCCAGAGGTGGGAGGTCGCTCAGTAGTTTCCCTTCACAGTGAAGGAGTGTGCTTGTATCTGGCAGCAAAGCTGCTGCTCCTGGTGGTGGCTCCTTGCCAAAGAGAGGGTTGAGCGCTGCGGGGACTAAAATGCCCTCCAGTTCCCACCACCCCTTCCCTTGGCTATTGAGCCCGTGGCTGTCAGTGGAGATCTTTCTATGAACTCCCTGGGTCACTGGTTCAAGTGTTCCATTGTCTCCCGACAATGTGCTGGCCTTCCTAAAGCAGGAGCACTTTGGAGAATGCACTGTGTATCATAAAGAGAGTATTGAGCCTTTACCTTTTGAGTGAAAGATGGCATTCAGGAACGCCGATTCTTCTGAAGTTCCTGTGCTATTTTTAGTGGACCTCCTCACAGATTGTTATTATGATAACAGATAGCTGTAGGGAAAATTCTCTTCATGGCCAGGATGTGCTCTCTCCGTTGAGGGATAATTGATGCCTTTTGTAAAGGAAGTACCTGGGATATATCTTAGGTGAGGGCTGGGGAGGAAGGCAGGCAGTAAGTACTGTGTAAGCATTCACTGAACATGCTAATGAGCTTAAAAAGCTTTTATAAAGTCGTGATGTATTCATCCTGTGTGATGCTCAACTTTGGAGTCTTCGCTGTACAATACAATAAAAACTGCTTGAGTCCTTCAGCCTTTGGTTTGAAGTGATTAAAATGGATCATGTTCCAGGACTAAGAGCTGCACGTAGGCGCCGCAGTGGGGCAGCGAGCAGGAGGTGTCATTTTTTGAGCCCCTCATCCCCCTATTTGTAAAATTCACTTGGCAGAACAGGGTTTCAGATCCTGCAAAGAAGCAGCCCCTGGAAAAGCTATCAAAACTAAAGGTGGAGGTGAAGGTGAAGTGGCACGCTGAGCGGTGTGGCCCCAGGTACTTAACAGCAGCCTGTTCAGACCTCAGCAGATCACTGCTTTCACAACCAGCTTATTTCCCCCATTCCCCATTAATCTGCTCACCAACCTGAGCCCAGCCTTATGTTTTCTGTCCAGTTAAGAGGTGCTAACATGCATAGCTCCTAACAACTTCCACAGTTTGGTACTTGGGGATCTTACCCAAGTAAGACTGTACTTGGGGATCTTACCCTTCTTCTGGAAACTACCCACAGTGGGGTGAGCTAATTGTTGTCTCTTAATTTCAGCAAGCACCGTCTCTTACCTAAACGTGGATTATTTTTTTTAAGCTGAAATGAAAGCTACCTACATATGGCTAAAAGAACACACAATTTGATAGCGATCAAAGATTAAGACAGCATTTCTTCTCCTAAGTTTTTCCCCATAATCTTTTCTTCAGGCATGTCGCTCTCTTCCTCTGACACCCACCTAAGGGTCCCAAACATGCCTTGGAGCTGAGACGCTCCGCCAGGCTTCAGAGGGTTTCTACCCAGCCTGGTGAAGAGTCAGCTTCTGTGCCAATTTTACATCATCCTCCCTTGGGGTTTTCAGCCCACCCCAATCCAGAAAACAAACCTGCCATATCCTCTTAAGGGGAGATTTACCAGAGGCTGCCTACGCGGCTCGCACCAGCTGGGTGACCCATGGCAAGGGATTTGATTTGCAGCAGCACGATTCCTCCCTCCTGAGGGGCAGTGAGAGCTGCACGCTGGTGAGGAACACGAGCACCTGTCCAGAAGGATGAGCTTGTCCTCCTCCCACACAGCTACACAGAGACTGGGCAGGGTGAGTGAGCAAACACATTCAGAAGGTAGAAGCAGGAAGAAAAGCCCGAGAAGGGGCTCCTTGAGTCACCCCAGAGCACCTGGACACCAGCAGCCTCACCAAAACAGCGCTCCCCATGGCAACATTCACTCACTCCTTAGAAGAGTTCCCATTTCGTGCGTGGTCAGGACTCTTCACCTTTTGTTTTCCCTTCTCTTCAAAGTAAACTAAACCTGCACAAACCATCAGCTCACAATACTATTATCTAATCACAGTAACGTAATTACAGTGAACACAATAATTTGGATATACGACAATTCTCTCATTCTTTCAAAGACATGCTAATGGCACAGAACTCCACTGGTCAACACTTCCACCTCCTGCCAGAGTGCCTGGGAGGGATGCCCTTGAAAAACTTCACTTCTAGCACGTTTTTTTTCCCTGAACACAATGAAACCAAAAATAGCTGATCTCATCAAGTGGCTGCTTATTTAGGGATCAAACAAACTCAGATCTCCTAGGGTGACCAGATCAGAGCGGATGCACACGTCACTACCTGCACCTGGCCAGTCCTCACCTGGTTTGGGATGCAGCCCTCAGACAGACAGAAAGGGCCAAAAATCCACCTCCTGGGCACATGGAGAACCTCTTCCCCTGCCTCATTATGGCTGCATGGAGCCCTCTGGCTCTTATTTTACCCCCAATGCACAAGCTGCTTGCATGCTGTTCACCTGCCTGCCAACGCAGCGCAAGGTGGGCTCTGCAATCCATCGGGAGCTGCCACCCGTGCTGCAGAGAGATTTGTTCTTTCTAACGAGCTCCTAAATAATTCAGAGAAGATATTTATAGATCTCCGTGTTGCTTGGTGATCTTGAAAAAGTCACTTCACCTTGCTGTGCTTGACTTGTCTTTGCCAATTAGTACAAGCTCCTGAATCCCAGCAACGTTCAAGCTGTTCACGTATGCCTGTGTTTTTAAATTAAGGCTAATTAAGGCAGCAGATTGACAGCAGGCTGGGGCAGTCAGGACTCAGGCAAAGGGTCCCAAAGCCCGCAGCACCCTGACCAAGAGCAGTGGCATGGGGCTGCTGCTGTTCTGTGCTCTGCCTTGTTTGAAACATGTGGGGAAAGCAGAAAAGGGAGATCCACACCTACTGTTGGCAGGGCAGGGTGAGGGAGCGAGGGTGAGCTCCTGCTCTGCGGGCAGCAGGGGGATCCCAGCCCCTCCAGGGGCTCAGCACCGCCATACAAGTGCAGCTCTTCTCATTTTCACCTTCCAACGCCGCCTTCCTCCAAGCTCAGGCTCCCCAATTACTCGTGAGCTGAGAGGCAGACCTCCAGTCCCTGCGGTCCCTGCGAAGCCAAGGTTATGTTTACAGTTTATTAATTATTATCACTTCTAATAATTGAATGCAAAGCTGCTTATTGCTGCTCCGTCCCCTGGGGTGACGCTCCCCTGCCCCGACACATTCCCACCCTTCAGGAAGATGTTGTTCATTATGCTGATCCCACAGCCCGGGAGGACTCCCCCGACAAAGCCCCTATTAACCTCAGAGTGTGGGCCTGAGTTTCGCGGAGTTTCCCACACTTTCTTCCCCATTTATGACATTCAAAGGGCCCACAAAGGAAGCGTGCCTCACAACAGCCCGCATTAGTGACGCTTTTTGGCTCAGCATTGTGGTGACCAGCAATTCCTGTCCCGATGGACCATCTGGAGGGCTCTTTTCCCAAGGAGCACATTGATCGATCAGTACTCTGCGAGCCCTTTTAGAACTTGGGAATGTTATGCTCTTTGACACTAAATAGGTGTCTTGAGAGGGCTTGTCAGAAAGATTTTAAACCATTTAAGGAAGGGCCAGAAAAAAAATAAAAATAAAAATCGTAATTATTTCTTCAAAAATGCCATCAAAAGCCCTCATGAGACAGGCTGACATCAGTGGAGGAAATGGCCTGGAATAAAAACGCTCTGCAAGCAACAGGGAAAGGAAAACCCTGAGCCAACAAGCAGAAAGCCCAGCCCCAGCTGTACAGAGGGCTGCTTTCCAAAGCCACCTGAGTGCCCAGGAGGGGCTGAAATGGGCACCTGCCAGGCAGGGCCTGAAAGCTCCCGGCCCTGAGCTCCTCCAAATATCGAGCTCTTACCTTTTGGAAGCTGGGGCTGGTGCCTGACACGCAGCACCCATGAGCACTGCCTGCAGGTTTCTGACCCCTAAACCCTCCAACATCTGCACCAGGCAAGGCTGGGAGACCTCCCTCTCCTCACACCTGATCTCGTGCTGCACCCAGCTCTGTAACAGACAGAGAATTTATGACCCTGAAACATCAGCCGGGAGATACCTTGTCGCCACCACATTCCCAGCCCTCAATAATCAAAATAAACTGCAGAAAAGGGAAAAAAAAAAGGCTCTGGAGGGTGGGAGGCCGACTCGGGAGGTGCTATGGGCTTGTTGCCCTTCAGCCGACAGCGGGGGGGAGAGAAGCCGAGGGCCGCAGCTCCAGAGGGCCGCCAGGCAGCTCGCCTGGTTCACCATTCACATGGGACGGCGCGAGCCGAGGGCTTCCCGCATTGTCCCGTTCACGGTGTTAAACTGCCAACAAAAGGCGTGTGCCTCCGTGGGGCCTTGCAGAAAGGCAGCGCCTGCTGCGCCAGCTGCCTGCACCCAGCCAGGGGTAAAGCCTTCCTCGGCACGGGCTGCAGCAGCCTCCCCGAGCCCAGGGGCTGGAGTGATTTAAAAGCGCTCGTTTCAGAGCTCCTGAGCTGGAAACAGGGTCGAAGCTGCGCTCCCACCGGGCTGGGCCCTTCGCTGCGGGTCCTGCACGAGGCCCCGTGCCCCACAGAGGTGCCCCGGCCGCCGGTGATGCTGCCGGGGACACACGGGCAGAATAAATCAGGGAGGTGATTTTCTGAGCCGGGCTCATGCTCCGTGTTCAGTGCTGGGTTTTTGCCAAGTGCCACCAATGAAAACTGTGGTCCAGGAAACGTAAAGCGGCTCTAGGCTAGGAAAGGAGAACAAAAATCATGGTCACGGGAAGCTGGGAAGCTCCAAGGGGCTTTGTGAGCACCAGTTGCTCTCGTTGCTGGGCTTTACTCAGGGGCTCTGAGCCAAGGGAACGGTGAGGCGTTCGTAGAGCGCCATGAAATCAAACAGGACGTGTTGGGGACGGCACGGGCTGCCACGGGAGAGCCCAGCCCGCCCAACAAAAGCAAGGAAGAGCTCTTCACACAGCCTGTGGAGAGACTTCACTCATTTAGACAAGGGAGAGGGAAATGTTTCAAGCTGGCTGCTTAGAGCAAGTTGTTTTAAGGGTTCTTCCCTTGATTTCAGTCACTTGTTGCCTGAAAATTATCTGGTACTGTATTCATCTAAGCATGGTTTAATGTCAATGAAAGGCTTTAGCCCCTCTAATTCTGCGTCTTTTCCTTTTCAGCCCCTCTTTCGGTCATGGGGACCAAGCATTATCTCTTCCTGGGATCAGTCTTCTGTGCTTAATTTCAGCATGGCCTGGGAAAAGGCAGCACATTGAGATGTCGCCGTCCCCAGCACCGGGCAGAAGCTGGGTTATAATGCCGCCAAACGCTTTCCCACGTCCTTACCCCAGCGCCCTCATGCCAAGCCCTATTGTGTTGCACGCTCCTCAGTCCACCTGCTCCTCTGGGAGCAGGGTATTATCCCCAGGCAATTCACACTCAATTTACCATGCTGTAATAGATGCTGGCCCTATTGTCCCACCGCATGCCTGGATTGGCTATCGACTGTGGGAAACTCGGAGAAGCTTCGGCCCCAGACATTTGTATGCAGCTACGGCGTATAAATAGAGGAGCTCTCCCTGCCCTCCCCAGCGGCCCTGCAGCCAGCCACTCGCGGTAATGGCACCCAGTGCTCTCTCCCTGGAAATCCTAACACCCAAAGAGAAGAACAGGGTAAGTAGCTGCTCTCTGACCGCGAGGGTTTAATGATGAGAAGGGCTGAACCGCTTCAGCAGCGGGTTATACAGAGATGGAAGGGGGAAGTCTGGTCGCTAACCGTCCTCCTGTTTTGTGTTACAGCTCAGGAAACCCATCGTAGAGAAGCTGCGCCGCGATCGGATTAACAGCAGCATTGAGCAGCTGAAGCTGCTCCTGGAGAAGGAGTTCCAGAGGCACCAGCCCAACTCCAAGCTGGAGAAAGCCGACATCCTGGAGATGACCGTCAGCTACCTGAAGTACAGCCGAGGTCAGTACGCTCCCTGATCACCTGCCCTTACTTTTTTACAAACCCCCAGCCTGAGTGTGCCTGTCTAACGCTTCTCTTCCACTCGTTCAGCTTTTGCAGCATCTGCCAAAAGCCTTCAGCAGGACTATTGCGAAGGGTACGCCTGGTGCCTCAAGGAAGCTCTGCAATTCCTCTCTCTCCATTCAGCAAACACAGAGACCCAGATGAAGCTGATCTGCCATTTCCAGAGGTCACAAGCAGTGCCCAAGGACTCGGGTTCTTCCTCTGCACCCACTTCCAGCCAGCAGCCCTCTGCAAAACAAGCACCAGCGAAACCCTCCTGCAACCTCTGGAGGCCTTGGTAGGCCGAGAGCACGCTTCCCACCTGGCCTGGACGTTGGCTCATTTTCCAGAGGAGACCGTGACTCGCTAGAGAAGTCCCCTGGCTCCTCTCCTGTGTGTAGGGAAGAATGTTCTCCTTTTACAGAGCATTATGGTGCTTGGATGCCTCCCTCCCTTCTTCCTGAAGGACTGCAACGATCCCACCACGTGGAGGGAAAGTAATTCTGTAGGAATGCAAGACGTAACCCTCCTGCTAGGAGGAGTGGGCTGTTCAGAGAGGAACGCTGCGGGTTCTTAACCTTAGTGAGGTTGCCCGGGTACTTCTGGTCAGAAAGCTGTGCCTCCCGAGACGCTCGGGCTAGAGTTTTCAGGGGTGTCCACCCAGCGGGAGCCCTTCCCTGCCCCCCTGAGACCCCCGAGGTCCACCAGACACCTCTGAAAACCTAGCCCTTGGGGTGCCGTGAGGGGTTCTATGATATTTGTAGACCGTACCAAGCGAGCTCTGGAAATGGTCGAACCATTCCCCAAAGGATGTAGAGGAAATTCCTCGGGATGTCTTGCTCACAAAGCCGGGGTACTGCTTGTGAGGTGCAGGATGCATACGCCTTTTATAAAGGCAACAGCTCATGTTTATTTCCTTATAGGAAAGGAAGTTACGGCTGTGCTGTGGATTTTGCAATAAATATTTATCTAAGTCTTTTATGAAAGGCAGGTGTACAAATTATATTTAGTTTGGTACCCTACCCCTAGGGCAGGATGTAAATTCAGCACAACCCGCGGATGCTCTGACACACTGTGAGACGCACCAACCGCATAACCCGTGACAGAAACCGCTGTGACCTTCAGAAGTTGCACAAACTTTCACTGGCACGAAAATAAATAAAAAATCTGGCTAAGAACGACTTGCTGGCTTCATTGCGTGGTTTGTGGGGATGGTTTCCCCGCGGTGCCGGGCTCTGGGGGCTGGAGGAGGAGGGACCGGGCTCGGGGAGGGCAGCACCACACCGCCTGGGGCCTCAGCGCCTCACGGCCCTGAGACCAGACCGCCGGGCACGATCGCGTTCAGGCGGCAGCCGAAAGGCGCTTTGCGACCCGCGGCCGCCACCAGCCTGACGCGGGGGGATCCTATTGCAGGCGTGAAGCCCCACATAGCTCTCGATACGTCCCAATAACGCCCGATATCGCCCGATAGTCGCCGACAGCGCCGCGGCCCCCTCAGCGAGCCCGCTGAGGTGACCGGCGGCCGCCCCCGCGCATGCGCACACCGCCAGCTGCCTCATGGCATAGTGCACGCGCCCCGCCTCATTGCCATGCAAATCTATGCGCATACATTTGCATACCGAATGAGCCCCCGGCGAGGAGCGGGCTGCGCTCAAAATGGCGGAGCGGGGCGGGCGAGGGAGCGGCGGGCACGGCAGTTTGGACAAGAGCATCACCCTGCCGCCCGACGAGATCTTCCGCAACCTGGAGAACGCCAAGCGCTTCGCCATCGACATCGGTAACCGCGCCGGAGCCGCGGGGGGCCGGGGGGGCCGCGGCAAGGAGGGGGCGGTGGCGGAGGAACGGGCGGCGGCTCTCGCCCCGCTGAGGGGACTCGCCGGGGCCCGGCGGCCCACCGCGGCGCGGGGCTCGCCGGGAAATGCAGTCCCCTGAGGCGCCTCGCCCGGTGTGGAGTGCCGGAGGCGGACTACGGCTCCCGGCAGGCTGCGCGGCGCGGGGGGCGGCGCGGGGCACGGCGGGACTTGAAGTCCCGTTACCTGGCGGCTGCACGGCGCGGGCGGGGAGCGGCACTACGAGTCCCGGCGTGCCGCGCGCGGCTGTTAACGGGCCACGGGGGGGACTCTCTGAGGGACACCCCGGGGCTGCCCTTGGCGGCCGAGCGGAGCCCGGCGGGCTGAGGCGGCGGCCGGGGCCTGCCCTGCCCCGCTTCCCTTCCCCTCGGTGCCTCCGGAGCAGCGGGGCCCGCTAACAGGGGCTGCTCCTCCGCACGCCCCGCGGCGGGGCCTGAGGGCTGGCCCCAGGCCCCAGCGCAACGAGGGGGTGCCCCCTGGGGAGAGCCCGGGCACGCGTCTTGCTTCCATTCCATAAGTTCCAGTCAGTAAAAGGGCGTAAAAGCACAGAAAATGAAGCGTTCTGCCGTCATGGCACCATGCGGTCACTCTGCGCCCTTAATCCCCTGGGTCCTGCCCTGCTCTGGGTGCTGGGGGCTTGCAGGGGGAAAAACGCACCCTAATATAAGGGCTTTTACCACACAGCAAGCCCCTGCACCCTCAGAAGGTAGCTGTTTGTTTCACGCTAAAATAACAGCTGGAATGGGCGCTTCTGAGGGTCAGAGCAGAATTAGAGCTGCAGGATTAGTTACAAAGCCTGGCTGCGTGGCTCAGCTGGTGTTCCGAGTGGATTTAAGTCTTTAAAAACTGATTGAGGAAGGGAAGGACATATAAGCATCACTAGGTGAACATTCACATAGCATTTACCTAGCGATACTAATGTAGGTACAATGGCAATTCATCTGTCAGTGCCCTACAAACTATTGTATTTCAAAAACAACCATTGCAATTGGTTTGAAGGAAGCTTTTCCTCCTAGCAGAGAAATATATATATATATTTATTTTTTCTTCCTTTTTTTTGGTAAAAAACTCACCTTAATGCAGTAAGCCAGCAGACAAGTTTGGATTTTGTTTACCAGAACCCTTAAAGCATTGGCCAGTGACCTGAAACAAGATCTGAGAGCAGGCAAGCTTTACTGCTTTTGTTGCTATAAGTGTCTGCCAGGGATCGCTCCGAATTGACCTCACTTGAATTTTGCTGGAGAAAGCCTTTCATTTTCTCACAGGTTGTAGAAAATTCCTTGTTTATTCAGCACTGTGGAAGAGTTGAGAGTACTGCTACGTAGGCAAAGCTACGAGCACTAACCAATTATTTTTTCCACTTGCCTAAACTGCATTTCTTGATTTCATTTGTTTGTAAGGCAGAGCATAGGGCCACTGCATGTAGTCATTATGTTATGATCCAACAGACGGATTTTTACTTACTGTTGGGACTTAAGTTTTAACCCAGAAGCTGCTCATAATTATTTGCTTGGTCTTTCTTACAGCATGTTCTGTGAGATTGCATGGAAAAATTACCAAGGGGGGTAACATGCCAAATCTTTGTCAAGAGGCCAGTTATGCATACAGATTTAAATCCAACCACATGCTAGAACTAGCACTGAGAAGTACAGACCTTCTGCCTGCCTCGTACTCGTGTTCGCAACACAGGTACCAAGTCAGAGCTGACTTTCTGTATTAGAAATGTGGTTCTGCAGCCCAGGCTACTTTTATTCGGAGTTAAAAATAAATGTTTTCCTCAAACAGCCACAGCAGCTGAGAGTTTTATGAAACATACTGATACCTTAATACAGAAGTGGGTAGCAGACTTCCCCCACTTTTCTGAAGAAATTAATGGCTTCATGACTTTCATGGTCAAATACCTACTTGAGTAAGTTACCACCAGGTACTGTTTTGCCCTAAGAAAAATGACTTAATGATGTTACTCGGTCTGACTTCATACATTACTCAATCACTGCAAATGTACAAATAAAATCCTCTTATAAGCAGCAAATTTGGAGGATTCTAGGAATCTTACTAATAACGTAAGCAAGTAGATGCTATACAAATCCATGCTTTACCTTCAGTCCTCACTTAGCTATAGAGCAGAAGTTCATGTTTCTTATTTCTGCTCATCTTCAGCAGTCTCCACATCAGGTGGGCACATGCTTATCTTAGGGAGCTTTACCCATAGAGTGCTGCATTTGGAGTTAGCTAAGCAAAATCAGTTTTCCAGTCAAGGGTTCTTTGGGTCACTACAGCAGGCACCTCGCTTAATTATATCTGGCTTTACTAGAGGAGAACTCAGCTAAACAAGAACTCTTAGGCAAAGCATACATAAACATAGGTGAGATTGTTTGCTCTAAGGTGAGGCATTCGTCATTACTTGTCATCTTTTTAACAGGTGGTTCATTAACCAAGTTGGCTTATTATTCGACTGTGCAGCACAAAGTGGCAAGAGTGAGATCCTTTGATCATTCTGGAAAGGTGAGAACTGCATCATCACTCAATTGCATTTGATAGACTCATAAGAAGGGTACTGCCTGGACTGGAAGTGAAGTACTAGGCTGGCTTTTCATAGTACATAGAAATCTTACCTAAAATTGCTACGTTTTCTAAAACACTCGATCTAGTTTCTACTGACAGAGTTCACAGTATCCTTAAGCATTCGTACAGCAGCTCAGAGTGTGGCTTTGGTTAAAAACCTTGTAGCATATTTCACAGGAAACCAACCCTTAGCATGGGTTTGGTGGTTACTTTTGCTTTGCAAGTTTAATCTAGCTCTAGGTACAAATTCACGTGATTGTACATTCATCGTACATGTTCTTTGCCGAAATTGCAAGGCTTCAATGTTGTACAGCCCATACATGAGCAAACTCAGTTATGTTCATTGTTTTTACCGTAGATACGTGTGGATGGTGCAGTTAATGCTTCAAATAGTTATTTTCTAGACCAATTAGTATGACACTTGTGAAAAAACAAGTAAATATAACTGTTTCATGCTTCGATTTCATGCATGTCTAACACATGCAAGAAAACTGATTATATTCCCAGCTTAAATGATACTAAGATGTGTTTAAATTGTATTCCTTTTTGAAAGTAGTTTGTGACATTGTTTAGCAGCATTAACAGGGTTATAAGGCCTAGGAAGCACAAGTATTGATGTTTTGTACTTCAGCATATATCCTTGTTTCTTCAGGAAGGACTTTGAATAATCTGTAAGAAATTGCTTTCTTTTAAAGGACATAGAAAATGAACCTTTGTATGAAATATCGGTTCAAGAGGAGATTACAGCTCGACTTCACTTCATTAAGTTTGAGAACACTTACATTGAGACTTGTCTAGATTTCATCAAAGACCATCTTGTCAATACAGAGACTAAAGTCATCAAAGCTACAGGTGGCGGCGCCTATAAATTCAAAGATCTTATTGAAAAGAAGCTGGGGTTGAAGTAAGTGAAACTGTTTAAATTTAGTTATGGGAATGCGTTTCTTTGAAGTGTGTTTTAGTAGACTAACTCTCCCTTTTGCCCTTAAAAGCCTTTTACATAGCAAAACTGAGGCAGGAGAATTTGTGCATGTGTCTTGGTCAGATCAGACTGAACATAAGTTGCAGAAAGATACTGTATCATGAGCTGACACAGCAGGAGTCCAGTAACAGAGCCAACAGTAAGGAACCCAGGGGCTAGGAGAAAGGCTGTAACAAGGAAGAAAGCATGGTATTATCACAGCTTTTTGTATAAAGGATTTGGCTTGCACCCATTCCATTTTTAAACCTAAACTACTCTGTATTGTAATTACAGTGATTTTTTTTTGTTTGTTTGTTTTACTCTTCACCTCACAACTAGCAGCATTTCGGTGGTGGTATCCTAGATGACAGTAGCATGCTTTTGAACTCTTAGTCAACACCCAACTACACAAAACCTACAGTAACATATAAAGTAGAATAACATTTGAACTACAGCAAGTCGGTAGTGAGCTCATTAGTAACAATTTTAATTGAGAGCTTTTGATCTGTTACTCTGAGTTGTGTTTTTTTAATTATGAGTCAGTATTTCAGATCTAAAGGTGAAATCTACAAAAGGCAGACAGTATTATTAAAAGCCAAAGTATTGCTGGCAAATGCTTTTTATTCTGTGTGTACCTAATAGCTATAGTTGCCTGGTTCTCAGGTTACGAAGCTTCTAACATTTTTCCTTGCATGCCCAGAATTAAATAATTGAGGCAATATAGTAATTTACTGCATAGGTCATGCCTAAACTTCATGCAGCATAGCCTTGTAGGAGACAGAATGGTAGTTTCCTGAATTTACAGCCTCATCAGTTTACCGTTCAAAAACTTTATCAAAAGCCATATGCTAAAAAAAGCCACTGTAAATATAGATAAACATATCGTTCATTTACACTGACATAAAACATTACCTGCTGCTACTGGGGAAGAACTTCAGAGCAGTTCTCATACAGCATATTCCTCAGTTTCTGAAGTACTCCATTCATCTCCTTTTATATTGCTTTTTCAATATCTTTCTTTTCTGATAGGTAGGATTCTACTACCTTTTTTCTTTTTTCAAACCAGCCTTATTGGCTGTTACTAAGTACCAGTTAATCAAGACTAGATTGAAGTCCCCCCCTCTTTTCTTGGTCTATGGGGCATGTGTTGATTTTTTTTTTTTTTATGGGCAAAACCATACTTGATTGGTCCGTAGAAGCGGCTTCTCTTTCCTGACAAACTGAAAGTATTCTGTATTAATTGAGATGTATGTTTGTGCTTTGCTTATGTGCTTTCCAAAAAAAGGGCTTATGATATTTCCTTTTGGAAATTCAGCATACGTCAGCAACAATACACAATACAGAAGTTCACAAAAGTCACTTTTCTAAGTTACGTATCGTGTTCCTAGTGCTCTTGTTCAGGATATGTATGGTTGTGAAGCCCATTATTCCCATGAAGTCTCTCTTCTTGTGTTTGGTAATGCCAGCAGTAAGCTCCTTGCAGTCGTTACAATCTGTTGTAAATGAGTGCTGAAATGTTGAGGTGGCCTTTTGTCCTTTTTGAAGAAGGCAGCAGAAGAGCAATGGAATATTATGCTGGGTTAGAAAATTGGTTTGTTCCATTAATTGCCAGATAAGTTTCTGACCTACTTTATTGCATGGGTGCACACAGAGTTGTGTGAGCACTGGCACACTAGAGAGGCAATAGAACCAAGCAAACAGGAACAGACTTATTTTTACTGACAGCATGATTAATGTAAGATCAAAGTTACTGGGTAACTGCTGTCCAGCGTTGGACTGTGTTCTGTCACTGAAGTTGAATGTCAGTACATATGCAGATCTTGGTTTTGTGGTTTAAGAGATCTGGGCTTTTGCCATATGGTGTGGGTTAGTATCTCCTACGTGTAAAGTCTTAAGAAATTAATGTAAAAAATTAAAAATTAATGTAAAGGATACTTGCTTATCAGTAGGGCTGTGAAAGTTATTATAAGGTTTTCTCTCTTTCCCCTTCAGAGTAGATAAAGAAGACGTAATGACCTGCCTCATTAAAGGATGCAACTTTGTGCTAAGGAACATACCCCATGAAGTGTTTGCATACCAGAAGGATTCAGATACAGAATTCCGATTTCAGACAAATCACCCAAATATTTTTCCTTATTTACTGGTGAATATTGGCTCTGGGGTTTCTATAGTGAAGGTGAGTGGTTGCTAAAACATTTTGTTGTAGAATTTGACAGACATAATCTGAAACATTACTATTTTAAATTTGTAGTTGTTTCTTCTTGGGTAATACAAAGTTTAGAAGGAAAACATATGTATTTTTTTTTTAATTTTCTTACATAGTTATGAATGTTTTCCCATTCACTATTGCAGGATCTTTTTAAATAAAATTCAACTTGGTGTTTAGAGAAGTTGTTATATTAACTGACAGGACAAAGGCTGTCAGATCAGAACTAATTTTGTCTTTCAATACACTGCTTGGGGGGACTACATAAATGTAAATAAAACATCTATAAGTAGGATTTTTGGTCTAGAATTAAATACAAAGATTTCAAATACTACTTGTGTTGTAGGTGTGTGAGAATTCCAATTCTCAAAAACCCCACATGCTCACATATTTTACAGTGTGTTTGTAGCTATAGTATGATTTTCTGGACAAATCTGCTTTGTTTTATTGACAGGTAGAAACAGAAGACAAATTTGAATGGATAGGAGGGAGCTCAATTGGAGGTGGAACCTTCTGGGGTCTTGGAGCACTGCTCACAAAAACAAAGGTATCAGAGAAACGGTTTTCAGCGGTATGGGATGATAAAAGATGTGCTAAGAGGTGGAGTGCTAAAACTTTAAATAAGGAGAAATAATGATTTTAAGTGATATTTATGTAGGAAACTAGAAACCCAACATCAGTGCACTAGAAAATGAAGAAAAATATCTCTCATGGGGCGTTACGTTCTATTCAGAGAGCTGCTGGCCTTGTACAGACACAGAACAGACAGTTCTGCAGCACTCAGGGCGATTTTAATACCTCTCCATTAGGTGCATGTGGTCCTAAACTGTCAGAAAAAGGCTGAATCCTTGACTTGTGTTTGCGTTTTCTGTGCTTCTGATGTATAAAGGGAAGCTTTAAATGCAAAAAGCATTAGTAGAACAAAGGCAAAAATGTTAAGATGCTCAGCAGTGGCAAAATAATGATCCTGCTTGAGTCAAGGAGTTGGTCAACAAGGACGAGTAATGGCTATAAGGCAAAGAATAGCCTGCTAATTTTCTGTACTCTTTTTCAAAATGAAATGCCTGCATAGTACCTGGAATAGTATCCACAGAAGCAAGAGAGAGAGCTCCTAATTATTGCAAAATATTTGGAGGTAGGGAGGAGGAGTTACATCTCTCTTACATTATACTTCACGCTTCCAGGGGTTCAACACTTCAATCCCAGGTTGGTCATCTGCCAGAATAAGGCCTGATCTAGTACTACTCTGCCTAACTCAGCTCTTAAATCATGCTCTTTTTTCCTGTCTCAGAGATCCATGTGACTTAAATATGTGCTCCTAAATGTCACCAATGTAGAAAAAGCTAGAGTTACATATGCACCAAATAAGAAAATGTCAAAGGGAAGACCCATACTTACAATACTTTTGTCTGATGCATTTAAAAACAAATCTTAGAATATGACAATGTCGGCTCCTAACTTTTTTTATAATTTTGTAGAAATGGAAATTAGCATTAACAGATCTTTAAATATTAATTATTGCGATAATGCATATTTTGTGCAAGTTTAACTTCAGGGACATTAATGCATTTCTTCACTTGTAAAGACAGACAACTGTTTTTAAGCCTTTTTTTTATATGCCTCACGAAGACATAATTCTACTTGCTGTTAGCTACTTTGTTCCTGACTTCATTCCAAGATAAGAGATATATGAGGGTTCTGACTTTCATATGCTCTAATCTGGAGGAGATTAAAGGTGCTAGACTAAGAACTTTTTGGTAATTTACTTGCCAAAATATTATAAAATCCAATCCTTTTGGTGATGGTGGATAAAGTCCTTTCTATTTATGCCTGTACAAGCTATGGTCAATTCCATACTCACTGGAGTTGCACAGAGAGCAGAATTTGGCAAATTTTGCTTTATTTCATACTGCTCAAGTTTTGTATGGCTTAATTCTGCCAGAGACTTTTCAGTTCTCCAGAATACTGCAAGACAGACAAAGTGATTAATTGTGCACTCCACTTCTGCTTTTATGGGGAACTTCAACTAATTATTTGTAGATAACAGAATCACAGAATGATTGATGTTGGAAGGGGCCCAACTTAAGATCGGTCTTTTTGATAAGATGTGGGCTTGGGATAAATCCTTGTTACTAGAAAAGCTTTCTCTTTTACTGACAGGGTTGGTTCCAAGCCAAAGCCCATGTTTCGGTTTGTTGTTTTTATTTTATTTTTGTCAGTAAGGATGCTGCAGAACTCAGTTTGTGGGTAAGGTTCTCTGGCTGTCCCAAAAACCTAGAGTAACTCTGCTTCTCATCCTCAGAAATTCGATGAATTGCTGCAGCTTGCTTCAAAGGGACAGCACACAAATGTAGACATGTTGGTGAAAGATGTGTATGGAGGCGCCTGCCAGACCCTGGGGCTAAGTGGAAATCTGATAGCTAGCAGCTTCGGGAAATCTACTACAGCAGATAAAGGTATCAGTATAGAAAAGATCTTCCCAAGATTTGCTCTACAATTAATAGTTTACATTGCCTGTCAGCATGGATTTGCTACTTGTACAAGCTTCCTCTGAATGCTTGTCAGGATGGAAAAACAGTTGCCAATTCCATCAATGTAAATGTACACTGCCTTATCCATTTCCCTGTGTTATGTGTGTGGGCTGAGGGGGGCCCTGAACACTGCCTGAGTCGCTCCAGTTATTTAGAGTTGCTCTTTGAAGCTACTGAGGAGAAGAAATTCAACCATGTCCTCCAGCACTTGGGAATCTGATGTTTGTAATGTTCTACAGGCAAGTAGAGCTGGAAAATAACTACCAGTGCTTTTTATGATCTTGCCTGGGTGTATTTTGCCTGCACGATACTTTATTGATTAGAGATACCATCCAGTACTGCCTTGCAAATAGGCATTCAGTTTTTCAGTTTGGGATTCCATAAGCCTAGGCAAACAACAAAAATAACTGTCTAGTTAGCCCAATGTTTATTTTTTTTATGTGAAAAATACAATTGGCTGTGTTGGTCCAGAAAAAGATCTGTGGCGGTGATTTACTCTTAACTTGCGACTTTATTTGCAGTGTTCTAATAAAATGCTTGCAGCACATCACATGTCAAGATGGATAGACGAACCATTATCCATGTTTCCTAGAGAAGAATCGGAGTTCCTGCCATTTACTATTGACCTTTCAAGCAGACTTCTTTCAAGCAATATTTCACAGCAGCTCAGTGCTTTTCCACAGTGTTTTCAGTCAAATACACACTGCTTGTTGTTTGAAATACTTTGTTAATAACAAGATTTTGGGTCAGGGGGTAACACCTTTATTCTACACACACAGACTGGTGAAACAAAGGGATTTTTTTTCTCTAGCTGCAGGTTCTTTGTTAAAAAAAACTATATGGTTCCTTTAAGCATTCTTCAGCTGTGTTTAATTTTTCTTGCTATTTCCTTCTTTTAAGAGTTTTCCAAAGAAGATATGGCAAAAAGCTTACTACACATGATCAGCAATGACATTGGTCAACTTGCCTGCCTCTATGCTAAACTCCATAATTTAGATAAAATATATTTTGGAGGATTCTTTATTCGGGGTCACCCTGTTACCATGCGCACAATAACCTACAGTATCAACTTCTTCTCAAAGGTAACGAAAACAGAGATTCTCCTAATAGCAAATTCATGTGTCTAGGTATCTTCTTCTAGGAGGTTGGGGGACTTAGAATAGATTCTCACCTTAAATCAGCTTAAAGGACTGCTCTTAGGTAGGTAAGGCAGGGCTAGAAGGATCTGTTGTGGGAGGGGTGAAATAAATGTGAATTGCCTAGGAGTTCTCTCTGGCCTCTTTTTCTCTCTGTATTTATTTATTTTTGATTGACAGTAATTGTCACTATTTTCTTAGATAGCTGCCACTGTTATTCAATTCCTCTTGCTGACTTCTACTATTTCTTTTCACCCCCCAGGCTATGCAATGTAGGATTGTTCTGCTGAGATAATTAGAAGCTAGTATTGGTGGTGGTAGTTTGGGCTTTTGTAGATGGTTTTATTAAAAAAAAAACAAGCTGTAATTCTTTCCAGGTTTTGAAGATGTGGCAAATACTAATGATATTTAAGTTGAAAACCAGTGCAGTCCAAAAGCTCACTTAATGCTTGGTACGGGTAGATTGGTTCCTGCACCTTTGCAATGCATGTCGCAGTTTTATAGAACCAAAGATACTATATTTTATCTCATCTCAGTGCTTCAAGCAAGCAACTCCTATATGCTGCTTTATTTTCCTTTGTTTCACCATTACAGTCTTTCTGTAAAACCTTGGTTGCGTTTCAAGAAAACTACCACAAAACTGCAGCTCTAGATTGCTGTAAGCATGTTATCAGCAATTCAGTCTATACAAAAATCTCATTATAAATTATTATTTTTTCCCCTCCACTATAGTTAAACCCAGCATTAACTTTTCTGATATTATCTGCTCTAGACCTGGCTTACTGTCCTTTAGAGGAGGTCTCACTCAGCCTTGTCTAGGAAAGCTACGGGTGCTAGGGTGGGTGGTGGTCCTGTTTTCCCTGGCATTCTTTTATACGTTTACTTTTAAACTAACCAACCTGATGGGGAAAATGCCTATGGAGAACGTACAGGGTGACTGTATATTGTTGCATGTTAAACAGTAGCAGAATGAAATAAATAAAATGAACAGTGGCTCGAATGTTTTGGATGCACAGTGGCACACACCTAGGTTGATGACCTAGAAATCAGCTGACCTTATATTTCCAGCCTGTTCAAGCAAGAGGAGTTGAATATTCATGGGATGATGCAGTGGTCTTTCCTGGCGAAGCATTCGCTTCCCTCTGCTTCTGTGGTTGCACAGGCTTAGAATATGCACCACTTCTGCATGTATTTTTTTCCAGCTGTCTTAGAACTGTGGAATGATTTGTGTAAGCAGTTCCTCCTGAAGCTGTGTTTCAGAAACACCATTTTTGGAGCACCATTAAAATTACTGAATGTGTTAGAATGTAGCACAAATGAATATTATCATCTTTAGTTGTTTCTATTAAATTTAAGTGTAAATCTAGTGACAAAGAAGTACATATTAGCCATCAGGGACCATCCAATTGCAATGTTTCATATTGTGGCAGGGAGAGGTTCAGGCATTGTTCCTGAGACATGAAGGCTACCTGGGAGCCATTGGGGCATTTTTAAAAGGAGCTGAACAAGACAGTAAGTACAGCATTGCTATGTTCTGTATATGCTGTGTTCTGAAATGTCAGTGTAATGTCCAAGTTTCTCTTAAGAGGCTGCATGTAAGTTGTTGCCTACATAAATACATTTGGCACTAATAAACACAGATGCTGGGCTTTGCTTTTATATATTCTGGCAAGAACATGTTAATTTCTCACTGTTTTCCTGCTCACCTTTGAGAATCCAGCAGGATTTGGCTCTTCTCTTTTCTGCATTTCTGCAAAGAGCAGTCATTACCTCAAAATCAAATCGGGGAAATTGAGTTACTGAGAACTTTCCTCCTCTTTAAGGGGCCAGCTTCTGAATGCAGTTAATGTACTGCAGAAGACCGGCGTCTCAAAACTTACTCTTTTGAGTGAAAAGCCTCAGAGATATCTATGAAGGATGAGACACTTATTTCCAGCATTCTTTGGGTATAGGATGCCTTGGTTGAATTTTGCCATTTGTATTTTCCTTTTCTTACTTTCTTGTTGATGTACTAGCAAGCCATTCAGTACCTTACTAATAGTGGAAAAAATAATGAGGTGGTTAATGATGCTTAGTTTTAGTAAATATCAAGTGTACCTCAGAGTAATGGATGTGGAAGTCATTTCATACCCACTTTATAGATGTGGGCAGGTAACCAGCTACTGAGGAATTAAAGACATTACTTCTGTAGCATGTTCTGTACATCTGAACTTAAACTTCTAGAAAAACTCTAGAAATAACTAGTGTTTATATGAACCTTACACTATGCCTTGAGTTTCGCAATATATTCTGTTAATAATGGATTTATATTTAGAAATAAGATATCAGTTCTGATGACAGAAAAATTAGCCATCAATAGTGCTTTGAAGACATCCTGCTCTTATAGCCATTAATGATTTAAAAAAAAAAAAAGGTTTAAAAATTATTTTAGAATTGTAATTGTCTTGTGTCTCATTCAGTTTAATCTGAAGCTCTTTAGAGGTAGGTAAGTCACCAAGAAGTTAAAACATACCTACGGGGGCCTAGAGGGAAAAATCTGATTTATGTATAAAGACAAGGAGAAATGGCTTTTGCAGTGAACCAGCTTCTCTGAAGGGGTGCTGACTCTAGACTCGTGCATGGGAGTATTTTCAGTTTTATTTTCAGATTATGTGTCTTTCTCTCTTTCTCTTTTCTAGATCCAAACCAGTATAGCTGGGGAGAGAATTATGCTGGGAGTTCTGGTCTCATGAGCACATCACCTGATGTTTATCCCATGCAGAGAACCAGGAGTGGTACAGTATGTGGTTGTCTTTCCTAAACTAAGTGCTTTCTCTTGGCAATGGTGCTTTGAGCCTGGACAATTATTCTAAAGCTACTTGCTTCTTGCCCCTGAGACTATGCTGCTTGCCGAAAGAAGCGACTAACACAGTATCTTGTATCATGTGTGGTGGTGTCATGTTGTGCACAATGATGTCTTGTGTCATCTGTGATGGTTTGATGTAATGCTTCATAAAAGCAGATCACGGCTGCTACTTTGTCTTGTTCTGCCTCACCAAAGGTGGGAGAAAACATTAAGTCTCCTGCCCTTTCTTTGAAGTAGCAATAAGAAAATACTTTCAGGTTCGTAAAATATTCTAAGACTGGATCTGCTGAAGTGCTTTTGAAAAGGGAACAACAGTGGAGCTCAGCATGTTTTACTGTCCTCTGTTGATCAGCATGCCAGTGTTTTCCATGTCAAGGTTTTTTTTTTTTTTTTTCCCCCCTCAAATTTCCTCTATCATTGGTTTATCTCCTCCCAGTCTTCAGAAAGTAGCTTCCTATACTTGGGGGGAAAGGGGAAGAAGAGAACTTGGCTTTAGACCCAAAGATGATGTATAAAACTCTTACGGACTTGTGCTAGTTTCACTTATTATGAATCAATTTCTGAACAAGCTCTAATAATTCTTTCATTTTTTACCTAGTTTGACATGTTTGAAATGGATAGGCTGGAGAGACCGCTTGTTAACCTGCCACTGCTAAAGGACCCATCGACCTATATTCCAGACACCGTTGACCTCACAGATGATGCCATGGCCAGAAAATACTGGCTTACCTGTTTTGAGGAGGCACTGGATGGGGTAAATGTCACAAAGGAGTTGTATGCATGAGTGATAATTATTAATAAAGCAAACAGAGGGGTTGTTTTTCAGCCTGAACTTTAGGTCAGTTAAAAAGAAAAGGTAATTTGATTGGTAACTTCAGTCTTTCCTCTTCTCTACCAGGTGGCAAAACGTGCTGCAGCCAGTCAACCAGATTCTGTTGATGCACCTGAGAGAGCTGAAAAGTTCCGACAGAAATACTGGAACAAGCTGCAGACACTCAGACAGCAGCCTTTGTAAGTGTCTTTCATTTTCCTGCTTTCATCACCTGGCTGTTTCTGTTGAGCAGAGCAAATTAAAAGCAAACTATAAACTAACTAAAAGCTAAATAAAAGCTTTTATTAAATATTAAGTAGAACAAACTGAAATCTGCTTAGGCTGGAGCAAGTTGATGTGCCAAATATCAGGTCCTCTGAACAGAACCATGGGATCTCCCCTATTAGAATTTTCGAGTTAAATTCTATCTCAGCAGAAAAATGACGAATGGTCTAGAAGTTATTTAAAGCAGTAATGTGTTAGTTCAGTTGTCTGGCAACTTTGCTTTGAACATTTCCCCTCTCTATTTAAGTAGTCTGAGTAGATTCGCCACTTAGAGACTGTTTAGCACATGTGGCATGTGAAGACTTTTAACTGAAACGTCTGTCTTACGTGCCGTGACTTACTGGAATTCGTCCTAATTATGGAGGAAACAGGAGAAAATACCTTTTTTCTGTTTGAAGTAGTTGATCTGTTTTCCCCTCTCCCTTTTTAAAGTGCATATGGTACGTTAACAGTTAGAAGTCTTTTGGATACAAGGGAACACTGTTTAAACGAGTTCAATTTTCCGGATCCCTATTCAAAGGTAAGTTGTTCTTGTTTTACAGGGTGGACAATGTGTAAGTTCAAGACACTTTTTCCATACTCTAAAACTTTGTATAAGTAATGGTTTATAAAGGGAGAGTAGTAACTACCTTGCAGCAGCTTTAACTGGTTGGTGGTTGCTGCTCTGAGGAGAAACAGCAGTTGCTGGTGGGATTTAAAGCCTTTGACCTCTAACCTGCTGAATGCGGTCGTGTTGAGGGTAGTGCTAACAAAAAGTTACCAGCTCTGGTTGTGTCGTGCTTCTGAGAAGGGAACTGGTGGTGTCCATCCTGCTCCTGATGAGTACCTGGTGTCCTTCATCAGATGCTATTGTAACTTGCTCCTTTAGTGAGGATCTGTTTCCTTCAGTTTAGAAGTAAGGAGACTATATGGAGAGGCTCCACTTCTGCTCATGGATAACCTTAGAAGTGACCTGAGTAATCAGTTTACTTCCTCTTATACTGAGGCTATAATGCAGTCTAGCAGACTTCAGGAATTTCTCTTTCCTGTTTTTCTCCTCATGGTACAAAAAACATTTTCAAAATTAAGGAAAGTTATGTGTAGCTGTGTAAGTACTTCTGAATAAATCTGAGATTTTCAGACAGTGGTAAAAGGCAATTGGCATTATTATCTTGTAGAGCAGTTAACAATTTCAAGAGCTCCATGCAAAAGTCACTAATGCTATGAAGGTTCTCTGTTCTTTTAGTTACCTTACACTGTATTTTCTTTCCTTCCTCTGCCCCAAAAAGGAAAGAAAAGTAAATTGAGGACAGGGAGAAAGAGTTTCACAAGCAAAGTCACCCTCCCCCACACCATCACTCCCCAAAAAGGCCTGAAAAAACAAAACAAATCTGTTCACTGTGTTCCTTAATTGCTGAGGCAGTCTCTCCTTACACCAAACTGTGCCACTTTCCTGCATCTTGTCTCTGGGTTAATTTCCTGCTGTGCTGTAAAAAGTTTGATTGCTTTTGTAACTGTTGAGATACTTTGTTGAGTTGGGTTGGAGTGTACACAAACACATAACCTGTAGCTCTTAAAAGAATTTGTTGCTATTCTGCAGTTGTTCAGTCTTTGGGGTTTATTCTGTAATGTACTATTGTTGGGGGAGAGGACATGTGAAGTCATCACTTCTCAAAAATAGCTTTCTGTACTGGTGATCCTCACCACTTTTGTGCAGACACGGGAACAATAACAATACCAGAGCCTAATTAGAGACTTTTTTTTTGACTGTTGCTCTGTTTCTGCAAAGTATGTAGAAGCTTCTGCATAGCTGCACTGTCACATGTCACATTCACTCTAAGAAAAAGTTAGAGGTGGCTTTTGACTGTGTGAGGTGGCTTTTACTTTTTTTTTTGCCTTTTTTTTTTTTGTAATTCGGACAAGATAGTGGCAAAAAAAGATGATGTAAAGATGGTACTCAATACCACTTGTACATTTTTAAGTAGAACTAGCTATGTAACACTGATCTCACTGGAGGTAGAAGTGGAGGAAAAAAAAATCAAGAGCTTCTAGGCATCTGGGATGATGAACCTCTTGAAACAAAAATTTAAGAAAAACAAACAACACCTCCAGTTTTTGTAAAACTGCTAGTGGTAAGCCTCCTCATGCAGATCACCTGTTTTTGGTGGATCGTGTTGCTGCTTAAGTGTCTTTTTTGTGTGTCTATTCTTCCATTCTCCAGTCTGCCCAAGATCTATCATACCTCTAATCTATTTGTTGTTTTTTTTTTTTTTTTTTAAAGTAATTCTTAGGCAACAGAACACATTCTAGCACTAATAAAGCTTTTTATTAGAATCCCAGGAAACTTTTTTTCTTGTTGTTACTAAGCATGCTGATAACAGTAACTTGTTGGTCCATTAGAGGCCATGAACGTAGAGGAGAATGCTTGAACGTGGTCTTGGGACTGAGACAACCAGTGATGGGTAAGAATTTTTTGTCTATAAATCCAATGTTTCATGTCTTTCTTACAGGTAAAGCAGAAAGAAAATGGCATAGCCTTAAAATGTTTTCAAAGCGTAATCGAATCTTTGGATTCATTAGGCTGGGAGGAGAGGCAGTTTGCTCTGGTGAAAGGACTTCTTGCGGGGAATGTCTTTGACTGGGGAGCAAAAGCAGTCTCAGAGTAGGTGTTAAATATTTTAAAAGCACCCTTTTAAGATACAGAATATCCACTTGTTCATTTTAAAAATAAGTAAATAAAGTGCACCCATCTAACTTTAATTATAGTTTGTATTTTACCTAATCATATGTTGGTTGTTTATTTGCAAGCATTGTTGTGGTGCAGCAAAGTTTACATTTCCACTCCTTAAAACCTGGCAGACACGTTGCTGTGAGTGTTTGAATTAAGTGATAGAGCATTTAATATTCCAGCCTGGCTGCTTTGCTTGTAGCATGGTTAATAGCCTTGCTTTTGGGTATATGTTGTACTTAAACCGATACTATGTACCGCTAGGAGAAAATACGCTGTTTTTCTGCAACCCACAGTTGTCCTGATATCACTCACTCAGTGGGCTGTAAGCTAGAGTGGGTGGTCTCTTCTGATGACAAAACACTAAGTATTTTTGATCAACATACATTCCTATTGCTGTTTTTAGAGCTTTTTTTCCTTACATCCTTTCAGCTATGAATTCACATAAGGATATAAATGCCAGCTGTCTTAAAATATTTTTAATTTTGCAACTCTGGATTTTACAGCTGTTTTTGTGGGGTTGATCACATAGATCCAATAACACGGGAAAGGGTCACTGCCTCACAGCTGACATTCAGCTCTTCCTTGCCTTTTCTGCATCTTTAAAGAGTTTTCCCCCGAGTAAACCAAAAAGAAGTCCATTCAAAACGCGGTGATTCAAGGCTGCCTTGGCCCTCTTAGACTTGGGGTACTTCTGATGCTGCCCACAGCCACAGAAACGAACTGCCACCTGTAATAGCAGTTAGTCTAGTTGCTCCTTGTGGTAAGTGCAGCTCTCCTTCTCTTTGAGGAAGGAACTAAGAGATGTACAGGCTGAGTTACATCTGGTACTAAATGACGTGTAAGGAACTTTAAGACATGACTGGCAAGCACTGCCCACATGGTGTAACGTTTTAACTGGCAGCTTTGAATCCAGCCTCATTACCTGTATGCTCATCACCACCTAAGTGTTTGGAGCTGCTTTGCTATATGTACAGCCAATAGCTCTTAAATCCTGTACCTAGTTGAGGTGTTTTTTGTTTTTTTTCATTTTTCCCTGCCTACACAGGTACAACTTTAAAATATTTTTTGTGAACTAATCTTCAAATTAGACTTTGTATAGCACTGGTTTCCTGTGCAGGTATTTTAGACCCTGACTACATTTATGGCAGTTTGCAGACCAAAAGTCTTCTTTTTTTGCCTGTAGAGTAGTTCCTGCAAATGTTTGTATATTGTTGGAGCTTTTTTCTTTTAGCATAATAACATTCTAATTTAACGTACATCTGAGCTTTTTGTGTTTAACATCAAAACAATGTGTCTGTTTCTCAGTCAATGGATCTACCCACACTTCTCGTAATAATCAATGCAATAAAATTGCTGACCACCTGCTAGAGGAATGTTTGAATTGTGTTTTTATGTGATTAAGTTGCTTAACTACGTACCCTTTATTTCTCTCATGATACAGCGTTCTGGAATCTGAGCCACAATTTGGATTTGAAGAAGCCAAATCAAAACTGCAAGGTACAGGGGGAGATGTGTGGTGGTTGGAACTGGATATTGCGTTAATGTGAGTGGAGGAGAGCAGGAAGGTAGTGATTGTGATGGTTCTGCTGCCCAGATGATGAGGACCCATTCATACTTGCTGGGTTTGTCTGAAATACAGATTTACAGAGTTCCAGGGGAACGTTGCTCTTTGTATTCCAAAGGAACTGGAACCTGAAAGCCTATCTCTTTGCACAGAAGCCTTAGCTGCACAGGTGTTTGGAATATCTCAGCTGTGCTATTTTTGTAGTGTTCTAATCCTGTCAAAGCAGTAGTGTCCCCTCAAGTACAACCCCACCCATCTTAGGGTGAGCCATAATGGTATTTAGCTCACGTGACTCCATTGGTTTATTATGAAAATTCCATTTCAAGAGCACTGTAATTGAGCTATTCCCATAATTAAGACTTTAGCAACTTCTTGAATATACAGTTTTAACATTCAAAACCTGAGCTCAAACTGCTTCAGCATCTTTAAAAAGACCAAACATACAGATTTGCTCCTTGCCTAAAAGTAACACTAATATGATTTTCTTTGTGACACAGAACGTCCCTGGTTAGAAGACTCCTACAGTCAGTGGCTAGAGCGACTGAAGGTATGATGCCACAATTGTTACTAACCATAAGTAATTTAATACATTAATCTTGAGGGGGAAAAAAAAAGTGTTAGCTTGTTTTTAACAGATTTAATAGAACCCTGTTCAGGCAACTCAAAATAAACTCTGTTAACACAGTACCAGTAATTCAGCAGCCTTACCATAAAGACAGGAATAAAAGGGATTTGACACTTCATTACTTACCAAGTTTCTTAGCTGAATTTCTGCAGGAACTGCAACATTCATAACCCAGCTGCTTTCAGAGTTCTTCCAACGTACCCATAGTTCCCTTCCTTATCAGGGCACTTTCATTTCTACACAGCTGGACTTGTAATTTTGAAAACTTAAATCCAAATGTAATGTCCGTATTGTTCCTCCATCTCAGTAATCAAGCTAAAATCTGCATTAATTAAGGAGCTTTCTGAAAGTAATTAATCAATTACCAAAGCTTTTTGGCTCTGTGTGATGTTTATTACTATTTAATTAAGGTTCACTGAAAAGCTGATGTTTTTTTGGTTCTCTCTGTAGATCTATGTTGGAGATGATAGACAAACGTTTGGTGTAAGCGGACCGCTCCAAATCATTGCATACTGTGTCTTAAAAATATCATATAATCATAGAATCATTTAGGTTGGAAAAGACCTCTAAAATGTAATCCTTTATGACGGTGCTAGTTAAGGAAATTCAAGCACTGTCCTGACCATTTTTTTTCCTTAGGAATTGAGCATTAGTTACAGAGAAATTCATCTGCTGTTACAAACTGCAGTGAACTAAACTTTATAAAATCAGATTTAGAATAAATTAAAATGTTAATGGAGAATAGGAAATACTTATTTTAGGATGTCACTGCCCCTAGTAGTCCATCCTGCCCTTTCCTGGCAGAAGGAAATCCTGTTCACCCTACATCATGCTAGCTTAAAACATCCACAAAGGTAGGTTTACCCTGATAACCAACATGTTCATGTAGGCAACTGTCCATGCTGCTGCTTCTGTTTTAGGGAAGGTTATTCTCCAGCTGCATGGCATAATGAAATGGGATTTCTAATCTAGCCTCCCAAGGGTAGGATTATAGGTGTGACTACCCACCCTTCAGAGCCCTCTGAAGTAAGTTCCTGTTCCCAGCTGCTGGAGTCACACACATCTTTGGCAGCTGTAGCTTAATTAACAGAGTTTGAGACAGCTCTCGAATTAAGTGAAGTAATTATAGGTTGTTTTAAATAACTGTGCAAAGACAATCTTAGGGAAACTGATTTTGCTTAAGATCAGAGGTAGGTGAAGTGCTATGCTGCTGCTAGATAATGAAAATTGCCAATCAATTAGGGGTATAAAACCTGGTGTCTTAAAATGAGTGTTTCTAAATAACACGAACTATTTAATGACCTGAACTATGAGCTAAAGCCTGAATGAATTGTTTGTTCTCTTGCAGGAGGGTCCCCCTCATAAATGTGCCTTAATTTTCGCAGATAACAGTGGAATAGACATAATTTTAGGAGTCTTTCCTTTTGTGAGAGAGCTCCTCTCTAGAGGGACAGAGGTAAGTGGTTTTTGTTGTAGAGTCAGCACATAATGGAGCTTCTGTAATTGGTAAAAGGTTTGTTAAATACCTACTAGCAGTACACTTTGTGAGACTGGCTCAGCACACCTCAATTGAGAATGATCCAATTTAGGGCAATGAGCTTCAGGCCCCAAATCCCTGGTACTCTGAGGTCTAACTTTAAGTAGACTGCAAAATGTAACAGAGCAAAGGGAGACTCTGGGAGATCTAAGTGTGCTAAGCCAGGGTTTATGATGTCAAAAGACCTGAAGTAGCTGGTTAACCTGGGAGGGGTGGGGGGAAATGAGGACTGGGCCTCTCAGGCCTTCTCCTCTCTCAAGGCCTCTTTTATTTTATTAGCCAGGTAATGACAATCTTTAAACAAACAAGAAGCTCTAACACCGTGTATTGCCTGCATTAATCAGTGAACTACTCTGACATCTTTGCCTCAGGTTATATTGGCTTGTAACTCTGGCCCTGCCCTAAACGATGTCACCTACAGTGAATCCCTGATTGTTGCTGAGCGGATAGCAGCGATGGATCCAGTTATTCAGTAAGCCTATAACCTGTCTTCATTATGTAGCATACAAAAGGGAAAAAAAAAAAGTTTCTTCTAACACACATAGTTGTTATTTGTGTTTATTGCTGTCTGAACTCTGCAACCTGGAAGTAAGATACAGAGGATGATCAGCTTAAGGTGAAAAAATCTAGAAAGTGGTTCTTGTTGGCACGTCATTCTATCTCCTGCTAGTGTCATCCCTGATAAGGACTCAAGCTACTAAACCCCTGTACTTATGTTAAAAATGAATAGAGGAAAATATGCATCATGCACAGACTATTCTATGTAGAGAATATATATATAAATATATTTTTTATATATATATATATATATATATATACACACACACACACACTTTTATATATAACTAAATAACCTGTTGCTTAAGGAAACATGTTTCTGAGTCCTAGCAGGAAAAGAAACCTTTGCAAAGTACACTCAACTATTCACTGTCTGGCTTATTACCAGAGTTGCATGACTATGTTTGACAGACCATGTAACGCTTTTTATTTTTTATATTTTTTCAAATAAAGATCTGCACTGAAGGAAGAGAAGCTGCTGTTGGTCCAGACAGGTTCAAGTTCTCCGTGTCTAGACCTAAGGTATATTGGCAAAGTACCAAATTTGTTTTCATCAGGTGAAGGATAACCAGAGACTTCTCATGTGCTCTGGAATAGCTCAGCCACACTTCACAGAAATCGTTAAGAGGTGCTCAGTCTGGATTTGCAGACTTGTGATACTGATCAAGCCTTCCTAGTTGTTCTACAGCTTACGTTTCATTTTGGTGTTCAGCAATTACATGTTGTCAGTTTCATGGGCAACTTAATTATTGCTGATGTAAAATATACTGTGTGCAACCAAGACATCCACTTGAGCATAAGAAGCATTTCATGTTGTTTGTTTATTTATTTTTTATTTATATTTCTCTACTGCAGAGAGAACTTAACCTGTGGTTTCTGGGAAAGCCCAATTCTGTATGCATTTGATGAAGCTTTTAAAACTACATTTCAATCCCATTTCCTTTGATTAAGGTGTTCCTTGTTTAATGCCATCAGTAATTCCATACCCCACCACCTTTTCTATAAAAGCTAAAGCCCGTAGAATATCTAGTCTTTATATGTAGCATATGTAAGTATGACTGCTTCTAAGTAGACCTCTCATTTCAGCCGCCTGGATAAAGGCCTGGCTGTGCTGGTCAGAGAACGGAAGACGGACTTGGTTATCATTGAAGGCATGGGTCGTGCCATCCACACGAATTACTACGCGGCTTTGAAGTGCGAGAGCCTCAAGCTTGCTGTTATCAAAAACTCCTGGCTTGCCGATCGTCTCGGAGGGAAAATCTTCAGTGTCATTTTTAAGTACGAAGTGCCATGTAAATGATATGGATCCGGTTGACAGGGTGAACAGGAGCAGCAGAATGGACTTGCACTAGTTTTACTTTAACTGTAAAGAATGTATTTTTATTACAACAGGGAAAAGAGGTCACAGGAAATTCCATATTTATATTGTGCTTTTGTGACTTAAAGCAACAATATGATTCACTCTATAGTATACACACTCAAATATATATATGTATATCTCACTCATTGTTTATTTTGGTAAGTGTTTATTTTAATGCTGCAGTATTTGTGATGAAGAGACTTTATTTTTTTGTTCTGTGAGACATTCATATAGAAATATATTTAAATGTCAATGAAACCTTTTTTTATACATCTCTGCCTACTCTGCCAGTAATGCCATGGCACATACCAAATAGTTTTTAAAGTGCTAAGTGAGTCTGACATTGTATTTTTCCATGTCAGCTTTTAAACTTACCCAACCTGTTTCATGCTCTGTAGTTAAGTTGGTTGAAGGACTGATCCACCTCCTACTCTAACCACCATTGCTTAAGCTGCATTTAAAATAGAAGTGTCATGATTTGAGAGCACATAGCCGATAACTTAACAGCACTACAGCAGTTTGAAGAACTCGTAACTCCTGCTACTTCCACTGTTTGTTCTTGTTGCCACAGAGGGGTGGCAAGCTGCACCTATACTAAATTCTGGGCAGCTATCAGAAGTTTAGAGTCTACACTATGCTTCAAGTGACTCTGTAATGCTTTATTCAGGAACACCCAGCTATTTCCCCATCAAAAGGCAGATTAGTGTCTGCTTTCTTCATTTATTTAATGCTAGAGCTGATGTGAATTTGTCTCTTCGTTCATGCAGCACAGTTAAAAAAACACTTCCAAGTAAATGAATTTGCTCCCTCCCACCCCATCAGATGTGCAGTACATAAATGCAGTCATTTAACCATGAATTTACAAACCAGCATGTGCATGCATCAGTCATTCCACCTCTGAAAAGAAAACCATCTTATTTCAGTTGCGTATTTAACAGTTTCCTAATTAACTTCCCTATGAAGTTCAACTGTTTTTCTTTGACAGCAAGAGAATAATGTAAAATACCCATTACTCACTTGCCCTTGCTTAGTAAGTTTGTACTTCCTTTAATTGACTGATTACCAAATTTCATGCTGGTGAATTTTAATTGTTATTCCTAAATATTTCCTGATCAGGTTAACTAAGACAACCTAGGAAACATCTGATGGGAAACAGACATTTCTTAAATCTAGTTCCTTAATTGCATCATCCCCTTTCTTGGATTTTAGGCTACTGCAGAGAATGCAGTAAAGTCCTGCATTTTGGGGGATTATGCAACAGTACTGTCCTTTCTGATTCAGAAATTACCTTCACAGTGACCATCATCTGCCTAGAAGAGGGGAAGAGTAGTCTGTAACTAAAATATTTAAGAAGCAGTTGTTTGTGATTAGAACAATCAGGTGAGAGCTTTAATTTTCAAGATTGTTCCTCATACTGTAATTAGTAAACAGAGGCATCACGTTAACCTATCCTAACTCCCTCACTCCTATAGGCATTTATTCACTTACATAGTAAACTTCTAAACTAAACATAGGTGTGATTCCCCCATCTTAACCTTCCTTAATTTTTAACAGTTGCACTCCATCCTTCATCAATTTAAATTTCTCCCAGCTGCTTAGTTTTCTTTTGAATCCAGCTCCACCACCAATCCAGAAGTGCTGTGTGTTTATGATTAGGAAACTAACACTCTAGACTTGCAGAAAAATACCCTTCTACAGTGATGTAGTTCCTATGAAATACATATGGTAGAACCCTAATACACACCCATTCCTTAACAATTTTTTAAGCATTAGCCCTTCCTGAAGTCTCCTGGCTTTGTCTTGTATTTTCTTTTATACGTAGACGAGTGCACATTTCTTCTGTGAAAATGGAGCAACAAGACTTCTGAAAAACAAAAGGGGAGAAAACAAGGGGGTGAGTTCTTCTGCATCATAAAATCCACTTTTAAAATGTGCGCTGCCCATCCATTCCAATGGATGGAGAACAAGAACACCAAAATGCACATTCAGATACCAGTGCAGTTTTACTTACATGTGGGTTCCTGCTTGTCAAATGACTTGAAAATAGCCATACTTGAGAATAAACTTGTTATTGATTTACTGTCCTCTGTACACACTCAGAGTGTTGCAATGCAGTTTGGCTGCATTACAGTAAATATTTCTACTTAATATTTTAGGCTTCATTTTATTATTTTTATACTGTTTTGGCTACCTGCCTATCACACAGTCCAAGCTACAACGTTTCAAAGATGTAAAGAGTGAATACTTAGCAGTCTCCTTGATCCCATTACATTCCTTTCCTTAGACAAAGCAAGATCGGGATGTTAAGGAAGCTGGTATTCTGCCCAGTGGGGCAGAATGGTACCTAATTTGTCCGTGCTAAACAGCAGGGATCCAAGGAGGGAAGACAGGAGATGACCATCACCTACCTTGACGTGTCCAGCAGCGTGTCTGCTCTTATTTGACAGCTCCACCACAGCTGCAATCACTCCTAGTGCGAGGCCAATTGCAAGAGTAAGGAAGAGTCCACCGAGAGCCTGGGGCTGGAGAGGACTCCATCGCTCTCTGCTTTTGTGAAGGCAGCTGGTCTCCCACCACTTGTTCCGCAAGTAGTCAAGGTCACCTGACTCACGCAGTTTGAGGACCGCAATGGAGAGCTTCTTAGTCCATGGGGATGCTAGCAGCAGTAGAATGAAAAAGAGTATAAGACAGATCATGAATATTATAACATTTTAAAGCAGTCTGGTGCTACCCTACCAAGCAGGGTTAGCTGGGTGCTGATTCCCAGCTACGAAATGGTCATTCTGCAGAACAGCACAGACTAAGCTGAGTGCTTTTTTAGATAGCAATGATTCCTGTTGTATGCACTTGCAGAATAGTAATGGAGTGAAGGTCCTTTAACAAATACAAGCAATCAAGCTCACAGAAAAATTTCTTTAGGAGCTCTGCATCATTCCCGGGCCCAAGGCTTAAAAACTAAGTAAATAAATAAAGGAAACAATGCTCCTGAGTTTCAGGACTTAGCTGTGCCAGCCTGTTTGCTCTCAGTCTGCTATTTCAAATCCATGAAATCCAAGTGGAGAAGTGGGACAGAAGTGGTGCACTGTGACTAACCCTGGGCTGTGGCAATGCCAAATCCTCTGGCTCCGATAACTTCAGGGGCTCTGATCAAATTGCAGTGCCTGGCAGCTGCAAGGTCTTGAGAGATTGATTCACCAATGAAGGCGTAGTTTGAGTCCATGACGCGTTGAACTGCTTCCTGGTAGGTTTTGACTAAAACGTGGTCTCGTCTCTTGTCCATATACTCATAGATCATCTGATGGATGGGATTCTTGGAGTTCTGCAGCCCAAAAAAACAAGTGTTAGACTGAAGAGTAAAACAAATGTGCAGCACTTCTGGATAAATATGCAAAGATTGTGAAACAATTTGGAGAATAAGAGCACATAAATCATTTCCCTTTTTGGGCCATCTCTGTAATGAAAATTATCATCTAGCTGGCACAGATTTCCTCTCAAATCTTACAGGGATTATTTATTTCCCACCACCACCCCTCAAAAATAACTTTTACAGGCACCTCAGCCCCAGCTTAGCAGCCCTAAGGCACGTGTGTATGTGTGCAATCAGATTCTCTGCACCTTGAAGTAGTAGAAGGTGGAGGAGCCGTCCAACGTCCCAAACTCGAGCTTTCTTTGCTTCACAAGATCTTCAAAAGTCTGGATTGGTAGCTGCTCGCTGCCGGAGCTCAGCAGCGCGGTGAAGTTGGCGATGTAGGCAGCCAGCAAGGCTATGGTGAAGAGCCACCAGATGGCGGCAATGACCCGCACAGAAAGAGCTTTGGGCCGAGGGGTGACACCTGCGCGACCAGAGGAGCCGATAAAAAGCAACGGAGGTGATGTACAGTGAGAGAGACAGCTCGTGTTAAAGCCGGCACAAGACTTCTTTTTAAATAAAGGCCAAACTGCAAAACTTGCCCTGCAGCTACCTAGGAAATGCACAGGCCTGAAAAGCCCTCAGTGGCTGAACAGCACCAACACCACACACTGCGCAGAGAGCTGAAGCAGCATTAGTGGCCAGAGGCAATAAAAAGCCTCCACTCTACAGCATCAGGGCGAAGGTTAGCTTGACTTTCCCCAGAATAAGCGTTACAGCAGGAAAAAGAAGTCCTCAGCTGCAGCCAGCCACCTGTACAACTCCAACAAGTCTCAAACTGCAGCTGAGAGTTTGAGTACTGCCGAGTGTCCCTGCTGCAATGTCCTTCCCCTCAGCAGCACCCAGCACCCGGCGTTACAGACAGATGAGGGCTGGATAAGCAAGCAGCTTACAAAAATACTCTGCTCCCAGGGCTCCTCTGCTGCATTCCTCTCAGCTCACCTTGCAGCGCGAGTGCTCCTGCTCCAAACCAGAGGCTGTTTAAGAAGGTGAAGTGATTCTCTTCATTCTTGGGCTCGTTCCATTCGCAGGGGCTCAGCCTGTGGGGAAATGATGGGATAAAACCAGACAGTCAGGAAAAAATTACCCTGTAGCATGACATGCAGCAGTGCAGCTAGCCCAGAAATGCCCTTTCCTTCCATGGTATGTCCTTCTTCACTTGTGGTCCAGTTTAACCAGTACAGAGAAAGGTGTTCCTGCTCAGTGCCTCAAGTATTTCACAACAGTAAAAGCTCAGGAGGCTCCTCTTACAGGTTTGCCAGATCCCTTCCTGAACCACTGCATCTAGTCTCCCTGACCCACCTAAGAGGCAACACTGGCTCTGTTCTTTAGCGTAAGAAGAAAGCCGCTCCTTGGAAGGAATGCTTATCTATAAAAGACTACGCATAGAACTTGAAAAGCAGCACCAGAGCTTCTGTTCAAGACTGCAGCAGCAGAGAGCCTTAGCGCAGCATAATCAAGAAAGGTGGGAGAAAGCTGAATCTCCTCAGAAGAGGAGGGAGGGGAAGAATTCCTTCCACCACAGTCAGTGCAGGACTGAGTGCATAAAAACACCAGGAGAGAGAACACGTAGGAACGTGGTCACAGTAAAAAACAACTTCAAAAAAAGTGAGGAAGAAAAGCTGAAGTACAAACACACAGGCCTTTAGCAACTTGTACTTTCTCTAAAACCAAGATCTCCTCATAGCTGGGAAAACAGTCAACTTTTGAGGAAAACCTGTGACATGTGTTTATACCTGGCAACAAGAAAGAGGCAGAAGCACGTCAGAATATAAGCAAATAGGAGACCGGTCCAGGTCTCCTTACTGAAAGGTGCCAGGAAGTGGAAGAAAGACATCTCCTGCGACATGGTGTCCTTTCGAAGCAAGATTCCAATCCCAGTCTGCAGGAATGGCGTGGTGAAGGAGACTACCTCTTCCCTGGCTGATGTGACTGTTAGGGGAGCCACTGCAATGTCTGCTTCCTGTAAGATGAAAAAAATACTATCAACTATCCAACCTACCTGATGATTTCTGCACTCAAATAGAACACTTCCCAGGCTGAGTGGGCAGATAACTACATGGCAAACAGCTTCTCTGTCTCACTGGACAGCTGTGGGCTTTGACCGAGCTCCAGAGGACAGCTTTCCATTTTTCACTGTTCATAGTGGGGGGCTCGCTGGTGTCTGGGGCCTCTGGTTTCCTACGATCCAAACAAGCTGAGGCTGTGCACCATGAACTACAGTGGGTTTGTTTACAAAAAACAGAAGGCACGTTCCTTTCTTTTTCTGGCTGCAGCACCTACGTGGCTGACAGGACATGTTACTGAGTTCAGAGGAGCAAAGAGAATTCAATTCAAGTGTTCCCAAAAGCTGGCAGAATGCTGGCTGAAGGGAGTGGTACCCCATGGATAAAAAGCAGGTTCAAGCAGCTATTTGGATAGTCTGAGGGGTTACATTTCAGAAGAGACAGGTTTGGCCTAGAGCTTAAGTACAAGGTACCTCTTCCTTAAAGCCTTTGTTTCATTACAGAGCTACAATGTCTCGTGCAGCCTCTCAGATTACAAAGGCACCAGGCAGTCTCTGAAACAAGACAAGAACTGCAGCAGGAGTGCCTTGTTACAATGATTTCTACTATGGCCATTGTCTCCTTGTTTTGTAGTGTCAGTATCTGTAGGACAAAACCAGCTACAAGTCTTTCTGTCCATCAGTTCTACACAACAGGCAGAACAACTCCAAGTTGCTCAGTCCCCAAGGAAATTCTAATGAAGAGCTGTGCCAGCCCAGCCCTTTGGTCTCTTTCCTGTTAGAGCTGCAGTTTTCACAAACATACGATGAAAATTACCTGTCTCAAAATCTCTCCAATCATCCCTGTCCAGTTTCCATTGGAAGAGACGGCGCCGTACTTCCCATCTCCCACCACCTTCACCTTGTAGCTGAAGTGAAGCATTGAAGCAAGAGCTTTCAGCAGGTCAATGCAGTACCCCTCCAACTCTGCCCTTCTCACCATGACGTAGGGATCTTCCTGCATAGAGAGGGAAATGCACACAATTACATGCCACCAGTCTGCAGCATGCAATTGACTATGAATTAACCCTTTTTTCCCCCCCAAAAAAAAAAACCTCTCCACAAAGACCTCTGTCCACATTATCAGGAGGAAAACATTTCCAGTCTTGAAAGATATTCACAGGAGTCATGTGCCACTGCTAGTAAAAGAATACAGCTCCAGGAAGGGCAGCTGCATTTTGCACAGCACATGTACTACATAAACGAGTGATGCCCTCTTCACAGGCTAAACACCCAAATACATTACCTTTGGCCCATCAGTTGAGAGTTACGTGCTAGTGTCTGACAGCAGAATCAGAAAATCTGCTGGTGTTGCTTCTTCTGAATGATCCTGACTGCGTCAATGAATCTTTCCTTTTTTTTTTTCCTCTTTTTTTCCCCCCATTTTTTAATTACATGTTTTTAATTTGGGCAAATGTGTGATATGTATAATATATCTAATAATGATATAATTGCAGCTACCTCCCAGCCACTGTAAGTATCATGTAACTGCCTTACCAGGATTGTTGTGACAGTCAAAGTTGGAAGATTCTCTTCTGGTCCCCTCAAGTCAGTGTCCTACAAATAAAAGTGAAGAATTAATTGGATTTCCCAGAATTGGCCCCACTTAGCTAGGGTTTACATTACTGTGTGTGTGTGAGTTAAATCAGCTAGAAATCTGCTCCCCTGAGCTGCAGCAGGTCACCTCACCACTACTCTACCTTCTTCAGGAATTGCTGTTCCATGACAGTAATTAATAAATCACAAATGTTTTGCTTTACTGCATGTTATCAGTGTACTTTGTGCAAATAAAACATCACTTTAGATGCTGTCGCAATTCTTCAGATACACGGTGCATACAGTCTTCTGAAAGATAGATCAATTTATGTTGCTGACAAAACAGCTAGCAGCCAATTAAGGCCTCATTAGAGAGCAATTGCAGGAGACAGAACAGTAGGAAACCTGAGATGTTGAGGAAAGGAGACAAAACTTCGCCTCTGCATAGGCACACAATTCAGGAGTGCATCTCCCAACCTTACACAACTCAAGGTGCTTTCTGATCAGTACCACTTCAAAACAGCTAAAGCTTTTGCCAGGAAAGCCGCCTGCCTGTCACAGATGAAAAGCCTTGCACACTGTCACATCTACTTCTGCATTTAAAACACTTTCTCACAAACAACTTCACTCATAGCTCTGCACCAGTGAATTGGACGTACCTTACTCGCAGCAGCATCATTCCTCATCGCTCCTGAAAAACAACAAAATAACTCCTTGCAGCATTTATATTTTACGGTTCCTTAAGAGTGAAGTTTCATAAACTCATTTCATGTTGCACTTAAACAGAACGACTACCCTTAGCTCAGAAGCTCACAGCACAGCTGACTCACACCAATTTTGCCAAGTTTGTTTCCTCTTTCACAGCACAGTATTAGTGTGAAGCAAACAGAAGCAGAAATGTACACCACCAGACTCAGGCTTCAGAGGATTCTGACTGTAACTTTATTATTCTGGTCTTCACACTTTGAAGGATGGATTTTTCAGACCTGCCCTCTAGACAAGTCGAAAAGCCAGCAGTTCTGCTACTTCACACAGCTAAGATTCCTCCCTAATTCCTGCAAAACTCTGCCTGTAACCCTAAGGAAAAGCAGAAGCTCATCAGCATTACACTCCAAGGCACTGGGGTTTCTAATTCTTCCCTTCCCCTAATAACGAGAGGTTCTTCCTGTCAAAGCAGACTGTCTTGCAACTACAGGGGTAGAAACCCTTTTCTAGCTCATCCTCTTGCATTCCCCCCAGAATTAGAAGCACTCCGACTCTTTCCTTCCTGTGAAAATTCAAAGCTACACATGGATCAGGACCAAAACCAGGAACCAACAGGTACTGCACTAGAGAAGGGTCTGCAAGTCTGCCCTGTTTCGCCTCTTCTCTGCATCCTATGCAGTAAGGGAAGTAAATACAGCTGAGTTTAAACGTGATGAGAGACAGTGCAGCCTGCAGTGAACAACACCCTGCCTGTTGTCAGATCTGCCATTGACCTGTTTTATGTTACTTCTTCTCGTGCCTCTGTTTCCCATTTGTAAAACAAAGGCACTGATACTTTCCTATTTGGTAAAAATCACCTGTAGAAGTATCACTAATGGGGTTAGTTGAGTTTCTGGTTCTGCTCTCTGCCCTTTTAATAAATCCTGTTAAATTATTTGATCCACAGCCTCGTTTCTCATAAAACTCAGAAGAACGCTGTAATAATTGTGATGCAGAATTAAAACCACAGCCACTATATGGCTTATTAATTGCCCAGGATGTTTTTCTGGAATGTGCACATTGCTCCTCGCAATCAAAGAACACACAGTACAAAGGCCAAAAATCCCTCAAGAGAAAACAAAAAATTGAGGGTGTTCTTGCTCTTCCAAGCAAAAGCTGTGAGTTTTTCATTAAATATAACAACATATTCATTCATTATGTATTATTCATTCTCTGGTTTTGCATTTTCTTGTCTTGTGCTGAACTCTACATTATTGTTAAAACAAAAACTGCTTTTTCCCTCTCCACTACAGTTCTCCACGGGAGCTGGAAATCTTCACAAAGGAGTTTTCTTGTCTCCCTTCAGAAACTCATTAGAGCCAGTAAAAGCCATTTGAGGCTCCTTTTTGAAGACCTGCTAGGGTTTCTTGGAAGAAAACAGGCTGTACTGAGGGCTTCAGCTCCCCCACAGCGGCACTGTATGCAGCTGTTCAAAGCCCCATTGTAAGGGCTCCTGAAAGGACCATAAGTAATCGAGTTGCAGCACTAACCCAAGTGCTAACCCAAAGTTCATGGCAGTGACACTTCTCAGCAGCCAGGTCCTCGTTGTGAGGATCTACAAAAACATAACGCAAATAAAAGGGACTCATCCCTCCAAATCTTGTCCCCTAAAGGCTTGAAACTACTGCCCTGAAGGCAGGAAGCTACTGAGGCTGCAAAAATCAGCCTTGCCCTTACCCCTTCTATTCTGAGCATGAACAGCCTTCTGATGGGAGATGACTCTGCCTGACTTCATGAGAAATGGCTTGTAGCACTGTTAAGAACTGCCTCACCCCGATTTTCTACCCTGTCCTCCCTGTCCAGGCTAACACCCGTGCCTTTATGTCCTCCACCCATATTTCCCTTTTTGCATATAGATTAAGATACAGGCTTAATCTAGCACTAGTCGTCAAAGAACGAGAGAATTATCAGACTGTGAAGAACAAAAAAAAATCAGATTTGGACGCAGCCAGCATTGTTGGCCAAATATTCTCACCTGCATGGCTTGATTCTCTCAGGAGCAGCACAGTTGTAAGCACAAAGAACACAAAGTGTTGTCCTTTGTCCATTGGAGCAGAAATAGTCACTGTCTAGAGGAAATTCCTGCTTGAGATGAAAGACAAGTAGTTAAGGCTGGTTTTATGGTTCCTCAAAGCTGAGTTAAATCAGTTTGTCTTGGATTGTCTGCACCACATTTGGAAGAGTCCCAATTGTTTTTCATTTTAAACACTGCAACAAAATTTCTGCATGACTTGAAATAACTGTACATGTGTCATGGCAAAACAGCAACAGAATTATGAAAGACAGCTAGTGCCATGTTATACTCCATCTCAAGCTTCTGCTATATTTTTGATTGTATTTGTAATCACAGTGACAACCAAGGGTCAGGATACCATTGTCACAGAAACTACAAAAGACACACTGAAAAAGTACTAGGAAAAATCACCATTTAGGAGACTATGCAGGTGAAAAAGGTGCTACAGTGTGGTATTACCTGCTTCTGACTGATGTGCTCAAAGAGAGAAAGGTTGCTTCAGTTAATTTTATCTCATCAACTTTTATGAATTTTTCCCCAAACCTGCACACCTGTGAAAACTCCTGACATTAAAAAGGCTCAGTGGCTTTCCTCATTCATTCTCTCTACATTTTTCACTTTCATATGAAGAATAAGAAGTGAATAAAATTTACACAGAAGATTATTTGTGTTAAATTTAAATGCTGCCTCTTTTTGTTATTGTTAAAAATACTTCAAAATGGGATTAGTGTTAAAGGATCAAAGGAGAGCACTGACATTCAAGTTAGGGAGCGACCTAAATTTTCTGAAAGTAATTATAGAATACAGACAAAATGCTAGATACTCTTAGCTGTTGGGAGGGCAGCACATGGACAGTCCAATCAGCCACCAAGGCACAGAGAGGAGAAAGCAGCAGAGATCTTCTGGTTGAGCCACTGAGGAATTGCTTTTTTCTTTTTCTCTGGTTTCTCTTTTTAAAGCTTTAGATTTAACCTCTAAATTTTTGCTAATTTTCCTTGCAATTGTGTATACACTATAAAGTGATCTATACTTCAGGCAGCTTTCTTCAGTAAAGAAAAAGCTGTTCAGTATTCAGAGCTGGTAATAATAAAAATGAAAGAGTTGTTAACACGCTGGCTACTGTCTAAGAACAAACACAGTCTAAATATGTGAAGAAAAAAAAGCATTTTCACAAAGGCAAATATACTTCCTTTAATCTAGTCCTGGAATGATTTAAGAATAAACAGAATCAGTAATCAGTTACAGAGAGAATAATGGGAGCACAGAGGGCTTCAGCACCTCCAGCCTGTGACGAGTTCTTTAGCTACTGCTTAAACTAAACTGCAGCATCCACTTACCACATCCACCTGGCCAGGTACTACAAAACTTTCTCAAGTTTGACAGCAAATCAAACTAAGGATTTAAGATGCTACTTTGCTAGAAGCAGCTCTCACTCCTCAGAAGCTTTTCAGCCTTTCAAGAACTAAACAAAAAAGAGACACCACCTACTCCTCTGCCATCCTTCTGCATGCAGTACTGGAGGAAGGCATTAGCAGCATGGAAAAGCTGGGCAGCCACCAGCTAGGAAGGAGACAGCCTGCTGCAGGCAGGCTGGAACAAGCAGAGCAGCGAGTGAAGGCAGCATCTCACTTACAGCAACTCCTTCAAGCCTCTCCCAGCTTGGCTTGGCTGGCTGGGCACCAGCAGGAACACCGATGAGCAGCAGGCACCGTGGGACTGCTGGAGCAGGCGGCGTGGCAGCGCTGGGCTGTTATAAGTCCCGAGGGAGGAGCCAGGGGGGGCTCCTGCAGGATGCCCACTGACAGCTGGCACCGCAGGCTCCAGGGGCACCTGTGGCTGGGGAAAGAGGAGGGGGATGTTTGGAAGCAGTTTAGTCCAGCAGCTCGATGCCACTTCAAGGGTCAGAAAAGCTGACTGCTACTGCTTGGTACTGTCAAAGCCTTTTTTCTACTGAACCATGCCCTTTCAGCTGTGCCCATCTCCTGTCTACTGGTCCTGCAGGCTTAAAGCTTTCTTCATGCTGAGTGTCTCAGATCAGCTGCAGGACTCGGGTATAACACCAAAACCCTCTCAGATCTGCTCCATGTTTTTCCTCCCAATGCCCATAGCACTGAGGAAAAGCCTGAGCTTCAAGGTAAACCTGGCTTGCACATAACCATTTAAGACATGGACAAAGAAGTGAAATTCCTGTTCCCTTCACCCTTCCAGTTACTCATTCCACGTCAGACATGAGCTACAGGACAGCCCTGCCAAGCAGCCACTTCTACTGGGCCAGGTCATTTATAAATACACACACCAAAGCACTGCAATTACAAAGGAGGGCTTTCACAGGAATTCAGAAGAGAGTAAATTATTACAACCCATCCTGCAGGGGAGTTGGAACATGTCCACACTTGAGTAAGAAACAAAAAATTACTTCCCACTTGACTTTAATCGCTGTCCAAGATGGAAAACACTCCAGCTGCTTGTGCCTTCTTCCCTAAGCTTCTCCTAGATATGCCACTAAGCAAATCAATCATTAAACATCACCACAGCTTGTCTTCTGCCAAAATGAAAACCACTTACCTTTCCATAAAAAGTGCTTATAATACTGCATTTGGTGATGTCTGCCTTAACGGAGCAAAAGGGCTTGACTCACAGCTCGCTGCAGTTAAGGGGAGCTCACTTTTAATGCACGTCAGACACCAGCTGGTGCAAGTCATCCTTACAACATGGCAAGATGCTCATGTAGGTTATAAACAGTAACTACATGCTCTCTATTCAGCCAAACCAAAAAGAATCTTATAAGATCCATTCACCTTAGATGCTTTGGGCTGCTTACAGCTGCACTGCCAGGTACTACCTTTGGTGGCCAGCACGTCAATTGTTTTTCACTTTCCTGTATGATAGCTTCACCCTAGAGATTCTGGCAAAGGGCTGCATATGGAGGGAGGTGAGCAACAAACAGATAAGCTGAGGTTCCCAGCTGCTTCTCATGAATATTTTTCTAGGCTTTAGTAAGATGCACATTATGGTATGTGATTTGTCACAGCTGGCAGCTAATGAGGGCTAAGCCACTAATAAACTCAACTCCAAGCAGCTGAAAGCATCTCAGCTCTGACAAAATGAGTTTTTAAAGACACAAACAAACATTCAACATCAGTGTTCTTAAACACTAAGTTGGAGAAATACAGACCATAAATTGCAAGGCCAACCATGTAGTGTTTGTCATTTGGAAACTTAGGACTCCTAATCTTACACTGTAATGAGCTGAAAACACACGGCAGGAAGCTGAGACATCACAGGATGAGCTCTGGACAAGGGAAGATACTTGCTGTTACTCTACAAACCAGCAGAAAAAGATAAAAAATGGGCTTTCTCTGGACAGAGTTATGATGGTTGCTGTTGCCCCCCAAACAGGTTTATGACAACAAAATACCTTGGCATTAAAAACCTGTGTTCATTATGCAAACCTCACTTGAGCTCTTACGTGCAGCTTTGGATGAGACACAGCCCAGCAAGTGTTTTCACACGTTAGTAGGACCTCCCTACCAGCCATAATGCCTTTTCCTCCTCTGTATCCTCTCAGCAGTTTGACTTTGAGACTATTCCAGAAACAGGAAAAAATATAAAGATCAGAGTTGCTAAAAACAATTTAGCTCAAGGCTTTGGAGTTTTCATTTATTTGGCAGGGGGTGGAGCAGGGCAACAAGAAAAATCCACTCCAAATCCTAAAAGATCTATGTACTTAAAAACCTGATTGTGATACCAGATTCAGCATGAATCTTTCCATTTGTAAACACAACAGCAACAAAAATGTAAACAAACTTATTGGTTAAATTATCACTGTGCTAATTATTCTTCAGAGCAAATGACACTTTTAAACATCTCAGTAGCTTTTTACTCAGTTACTGACCTTCTTGAAGAATACTGTTTTCACCTGCCTTTCTGAATTCCTTCACACCTGCTGCCAGGCTTTTGTTGTTACATGACATCCTGAAGGGAGAACAAATACCAGTGACTGTGCAGCATTTGCAAGTGCTTCTGGCCTCCATCTTGGATGAATTCTCAACCCTGCTGTATTAAGGTGTGTGACTGTAGTAAATATTTGCACCTTCTTCATGGCAAGCAGTGATTACTGCAAAGCAAATGCTGCCAGCTGAGCAGCTGGCATGCACAACCTGCTGTGGTTTCATGCTCAACCTGGATCTACGCTGAATCTACCTGCAGTTTCACGAGGGAGATGGAGAATCTGCTTTTTCATCTTGATCATCATATGAATGGTGGAGAAAACTGTCAAGAGAATAAGAGCAGAGAGGTAGTCCTAAAAGGAAAGAAAATCAGTGCTGCTAACCTTGACTCCAGACTCCCTCTGCTGTTGCTGAATCTTTATCGCTTTCCTTACCTTTTTAGACAGTGCCCTGCCTGCTGAGCAGATCTGAGAGTGTTCCCTCTTCCCTGAAGAAGAACAGATGAAGAGCAAAACTGCATAGTAAACTCCCGCGGTGTTGGTGCCATGAAATACATTCCACTCAGACAAGTAAATGGATACATCATTAATGGTCTTATGTAGTGCAACAAAACAACTTGTCAAGGCAGTTCCTACGAATTTGCAGGCAGGACAAAATTCACATGTGCCCTGGTAAATTAAATCCAAGCACAGCTTTTTAAAAATGTGAACAAAGGAAGATGTTTTGAATTGCTGCATGATGCTGCCTTCTGTGAGGTGCATTAATTTAACAAGTATTGCTTAATCGATAAAAGCTCTAAAAAAATGTGCAACTTGGTCTTCGAAAAGACACAAATAGGCTTTTTAAATGTTAACTTTCTAAAGCTGTCAATTTGCATGTACTTGTGTGCTTTAAAGATAAAAAAGCAGCAACTCCCTGCAGCTCTTCAGCTCAAATCTGAAGTATTACAGGCTGACTTTCCGTCTCGAGAATGTTAATGAAATTCGCTTTGTGTTAAGATACAATGCAAGACTAATCTTGGCAGATCACACATTCTGCTGTTGATTTACCTTTTTTTCTTCAGAGGCTGCAAAGATATTGTAGGGTTACTTCAGTGCATGTTCCAAACTTTTGTTACACAAACCTCAAGGGCCTCTCCTCCAAATTATGAAGACAAGCAATAAAGATCAGAGCCAGGATGGAAAGCTGAGGGAACATGTTTAGACAAAGCACACTGAAGATCATTTAAAAAGATTTAATCACAGACTTTAAACCCTCCCAGCCCCCACCTCCATATCAAGATGAAATCATTACCTACAGTTAGCCTCACATTTTGATATCTCAGAATTGAAATGCTTGTAACCAAATGATGCTAAAATTAGAACCAAGAACTCCTTTCTAGCCCTGCAACCTAGAAGTAAACCCAAGACCTTTCCAGGAGAGAGCATGAACTAAGTAATGCACATTTTTGCTGTGTACTTTGCTGGGATAGGAAGAGAAGAGATTCTTGAATGAGATCAGCAAAGAGAAAATTTTTGCTGCAGTATTTTCAGTCAGACTTGAACAACCTCAGTAATGAAACAAGACTATCTATCTTACGTGGAAAACCATAGAGTTTATCTTTGTATTGTTCTATACAACATTGACTGCTTTGGCTGTGACAGAATAGATCAGGTCCTTGGATTGTCTGTCTGACTACCAACTACGTGAGTCTTGCCAGAATTTTCATCTACACAGCCATTACTGGCTGCCAGACACTGCTCCCACACAAGCCATGTGCTGTGTGTCCCACAGCAGAACGCCACTGTACCAGTACTTGCAGGAGCTTTGCTGGACCTGAGAAAATTTTAGCAGGACCTGAAATGGTTACTGCTCTGAAAAAGAGTAAAATTAAACATCAACCGCTAAGGAATTTTTAAAGCAAAACAAGTAGAATTAACCATGTTTGCATACCACAAATTCTGGACAGCATTAAAAAAAAAAGCATTATGTTACAGCTAAATAGTCAACAGCTGGAAGATTAAATATGTTTATTTTAGTAGTATAAGGTGGTTTTACAAACAATTTTTTCGGTTTTGCAATATACACAGAAGAATCATTACAAACAAAAGCAAAATATCTTTTCAATAATAGGGACTCTATGCAGCCTGAAAATAAAATTAAATCTCTGTTTCTCTTTAAAATGCATCTCAGTAAACATTCTTCTCCATCACTGATAAAATGCACATCTATAATAAATGACTTTTTTTGGAGTGGGGGAGTGGGAAGGAAGGGGAAGGTTAGAATAGGGGGACATACCCTAAAATAAAATGTAAAAAAAAAATGGGAGGAAAAATTATTATTCTCTTCAGCTTGCTATATAACTCTAAATATGTTCATCTAAAAAAATTAAATATATCTTTTTTTAAAACATATCATTGAAAACTTTGCATGGCAGTGCAATACAGAAGTAGTAAAATTCATCCAAAAAGTGCTATGTACAGCAGCATTGTTAAAATACCATAAAGAAGGAATGGTTCTGCTTTCAAGGAAAGATTAGTGTGCTTTTTAGCCATTTCTGAATTAGTGTCAGAAGATATTTCCTGTATGTTTTTTCTAATTCCCTCCTCTTGTCTCGTTCCCTAAGATTATGCTTTGAGACAAGGAGCAGTCACAGTTCAGTTTAAGTGTGTGCATGTGTACATGTATAGGCAGACATACATACCTACATACACACAGATGTATATATATATATATATATTTATATATACATACACAAGCTTGATTAAAAAAAAAAAAAATAAAAGCATTGCTTTGGAACACGGTGAGAATTCTTCAAAGAGTGAGGCAATATGGATTTTCACTGAAATAATCAAGTCCGTGATGGAAGATAGGCTTTATCTACTACATTAATAAGGAAACAATTCTACTGCAATTTTGACCACTTCCCAGATGCCTCAAACTCTTCAAAGAAACAAAACAAGGGACATGATTTTAAATCCAGCCTCCTTTCATGGATCCCTAACTTGTAAGAGCAACATTTAACTTAGCAGTCATGGACATCACGTTGATGTTTAGCTGTTATACAAAGCAATTCCCAAAATGAGCACGGAACGTGAGTTTTGCACAGAGCAAACTGCAAGTGCCAAACAATGCTCACACACAAAGGAGGCCAGATTTGAGGCTGGAGAAAGTGTAATACAAAAGCGAGGTCAGGTCATTAAGACTGTAAAAATGTAAGTCTCTAATTAAACTCATTTGTTCTAATTCCACAGACTGATGACAAATTTAGCACTCAGCTATTCTTTTGGAGTCGTGGTCTAAAGTACCTTTACCATCAAGGGAGGGCCAGGAAGCACTAAGCTGTACGAGGACATTTTATGCCCCTCAGGTCCCTGTTTTGTTTTGACAGAAATGTAAACATCACCTTACTCAGTGCTCACCAGAATTACAGTTTCAGCATAAAGAAGACTTCTGTGTCAGTGTTATAATCAATTTGGTTCTTAGGCTGGGTTGTAAACACGGTAGGAGAAGCTATATCCATGCAAACTGCTTTAGCAACGCTGCAGGCTCCCTCTGGATTCCCCCTCTCCTCAATGGGGCTCCCACCCAGCTGGCCGAGGCTTTGCAGCCGCTGCCTCTCCTGAGCCTGCTTGGCCCTGTTGGCGATGTACCGCACCCTGCTCTGGCTGCGAGAGGAGGACCTGCGCAGGAGTCCCAGGCTCTCCCCTTCCTCTTCAGATTCTGTTGGATCAAGACTGATGGGGGAAGTGATATCATTTTCCTGCTGAAAGGCCGTCAGCTTCTTTAGCTGCTCAGTCAGTTCATCCTGGGATTTGACTGAGGATCTCAGGCCTGAAGAGCGGCGCTGCTCCCGCATCGATCGAGTGACAAAACTCCTGCTGATGCTACGGTATTTGCTTTCAAAAGTGCACACGATATCATCCGAGGTAAGGTCTCCAAGACTCTTGGATTTTGCCTGGTTGTTCCCAACCATATCCTGGGCTTTGGATTTGTTAGAAGATTGCCTGAGACTTTCGATGTACAGCCTGCTCCAGGTGTGCCTCCTAGGAATGGATGAGAACGCATCTTGAGGACTCCTGGCAAGAGGACGGGGGCAGAGCTCATCTGCTGGCAGCTGGTCAGACCTCAGGTTAGGATTGGATTTGCTCTTGCTCACCATTGGCATTTCGTTACCTGATGTTGTAGCAGAACGTGGGCGCATCCCCCTTCTAGCTGCAAGGGGCTCAAAATTCTCGTGACGGATGCCAAGATCTGGGAGGCTTTTGCGAGCTAGATTGGGCAGAGAGAGATCTATCACAGTGTCATTGGAGGACATGCTGGAGGAGGAAGACATGCTGTCACGATGACTGCTGCAATCTAGCTTGCTCCAGATCCGGTCGTTAACTGTGGCATCAAAGTATACTTCTGCTGCTGGAGATATGCTACTTGGGTTTTTTATTAAAGCTGAGGAGTCCAACATCTTCATCCCTTCACTCTTTGACTTCCTTACTAACACATAAGAGCTCGTCTGAGAAGGCAGAGCCTGTACAGCCTGGGCTTTCCGGAAAACATCTGGAGGCAAAGTCGTCTGTGTGCCGTTAATCACATTGTTTTGCTGCAGGATGGCTGCTGCACCAAGTTTTTGGCCTTTTAATTCAATGGTGTTTTTCAAGTCTGTTAGTACCTGAACTGTCTGGCCATTTTGCTTCTGGCAGTTTTCTACAGGTTGGCCAGTAGCCTTACCTGCTGCCACTACTGGCCGGGCTTTTTGAGGACGCACTGCCAAACTAGGCTGATCTTCGGCTTCACGGCATGTCTGTGTCCAACCATTTTCCTCTTTTAGAGGTCCTGCCATGCTTGTCCTCTCATCTTCTTGGACGGATATAATTGTGTCAACTGCTCTTGTGGCTGCCTGCACGTGGTCTTCCGCAGCCAGATTTGGTGTTTGTTCTCTAGTGAGAACTTCTTGAGGCTGGTTGGATGCATTGCTTGCTTTGGACTGAAACTCAGTGGAATGATCAGACACAGACCCTTCTTCAGAATCACTGTAAGTAACGGGCAGGGGGAAGAAGAGGCTGGCATGATGGTTTTCATTGGCAACAACAGGCTCTTCAGTGATAGTTTCTAGGCTGCATAAAGAAGTGACCGACCTCTGCATTGAGAAATGGCAGACATCTAATTGGAGACATGAAAGAGAGGAAAAAGAAAGAAGAAGAAAAACAGACACATGGTTAATTAACCATTATGAATGCCAGTTTAGTTGCAGATCTATTCTTTATGTGGTATCCTTTTGTATTTAATGTAGCAGTTGCATATAGTAGTAATGATTTTTAAGAATAACTGAAGATTTCAAATGCCTAGCTAAAGGCAGCAAAAATTTCTATTCATTCAGTTAGAGCTGCCCCAAAAGCCTGTTGCTTTTGAAAAATCTCAGTCCATGCATGCTAGCAACACACTATTTTTTGTTGTCTTATTCAAAGCATAACTGTATCCATCCATTTCTTTTTGCCCTTGTATCCCCTCTTAGAATCCAACTTTTCATCCTCCCCCATCTAGCAACAGCTGAATTACTCTTTTCCATCTCCGCAGCACTCAAACATGACAGTACCTCCAATCATAATCAAACTATATATAATACTCAGAACATCATTGCCTGACCAATAGATGTGATTCCAACAACTGATTACTCAAAAGAGAAGCACCATAGGACTTCCAAAGCAGCTTAGTAGTAAAACGATCTGTGTACGTACAATGCAATGTGGTCAATTTGCTTTTAAAACCAAGCCAAACCAACCAACCACAAACATGACACGGTGACTTTGTTTTCCTAAAAGCTTGCAGTTTCTTTTTCACACACACAAGCATGCTTCGTGAACACCAGGCCAACAGCACAACCCTGAAGACTCACTACATCCACAAATTACCTGAATAAAACCCACTCCACCTGCAGTGTTTCTACCCTGTATTGCACAAACCAAGCAATCATGCCAAAAAGACTGCTCCCACATCTCCAAACCACAACGCAAACATGCGGCAAGAACTAGCAATGCACCGGGGCAGACCACAACCTCAGGAGTATTGGAGCAGATCATTTTAAGGCAGGAAGCAAATAAAAACCAGGAGTACAGGCAACAAGGTGCTCGAATCAGTGACACTCGGTTGACAATTACCTTTAACTTGCTTGTCCTTTCAGTTCTTAACTAGACAGGGAGAGTGTGCATGTAGAATAATGGGACAGAACAGAGGAAAAATCCAGTTAATGTAGGGAAGGCAGGTGCACATAACAGGATAAATTAGTGCTGAGGGAGGGAAGGGAAACAAATATTCACACATTTTTGTAGGATCCTAAGAATTTCTGACCAACCAGAGCACTCAGTGGAATCCATAAATGGACAGATTTAAGTCCACTTCTTTTGCTATAGAAAATAAAAACCAATTTTTACTACCATGGAAGAAAACTTTAGTAACATAATATGAGTTTGTTCCCACCTGCCACACAGAATTTGGTATAAAGCCTACATTTACACTGGGTGCAAATAAAATGGCCAAAAGATGTCTGTCATCACTGGAGCCTGGAAGACATCAGTGCAGCACAAAGCCGTACCACTGAAATGAGACAAAATGGAGACCCCACAGAAGAGACGCACGTTTACAGCACGTTCCTATGTCAGACGAGGCATAAAT